AGTCCTCTCATATCTTAAGGATTATTTAACAAATAGAAAATAATATGTTAATTTTAAATGTCTTAATTCGAATTTACTTTCCGTTAATTGTGGTGTTCCCCATGCAAAGGCTCCATTTTAGGCCCACTTTTATTTCTTTTATACCATGATAAATGATTTATCCAACACATATTCTTTATTGTCATTTATTATTTTTGCAGATGACACAAATATATTTTGCTCTCATAAGAAATTAGTGAGCAATAATTATTTTTTTTCGGCCCTCGAAAAATAGCACCCCCCTTGAAAAAAGGTAAAATTAATGTGTTTTTTAAACTTTTTTTTCCCAGGGCGAGGCCCTTAGAAGCTTAGGGGTTTTATACATTAAATTATCGTTAGATCAGCATATTTTATACCTTATTTGTGACACTGGCAGGTCACGAACTGGTGTGGGGTCCAGGGGGCGGAGCCCCCAGAAGCTCAGGGGTTTTGGGAAATAAATAACGGTCAGATGAGCACATTTTATACCTTATTTGTGACGCTGGCTGGACACAATTTGGTGTTGGGTCCAGGGGGTGGAGCCCCAGAAGCTCGGGTTTTTTTCTACATTAAATTATCGTTAGATCAGCATATTTTATACCTTATCTGTGACACTGGCAGGTCACGACTTGATGTGGGGTCCAGGGTGCAAAGCCCCCGGAAGCTCAGGGGTTTTGGGCAATAAATAACGGTCAGATAAGCATATTTTTATATCTATTTGTGACACTGACAAGACACAAATTGGTGTTGGGTTCAGGGGGTGGAGCCCAAGAATTTCAGGGGTTGTATACATTAAATTATCGTCAGATGAGCATATTTCTACTTTATTTGATACACTGGCAGGTCATGAATTAAGTGGCGTGGGGTCCAGGGGGCGGAGCCATCAGAAGCTCAGGGGTTTATACATCAATTTATCGTCAGATGAGCATGATTTTATACCTTATTTGTGCCACTGGCAAGTCATATTGGTGTGGGGTCCAGGGGGCGGAGCCCCGAAGGCTCAGGGGTTTTGGGCAATAATATAACGGTCAGATGAACATATTTTGATACTTTTTTTGTTACACTGGCAGTACACAAATTGGTGTTGGGTCCAGGGGCAAAGCCCTCCGAAGCTCAGGGGTTTATATATCAATTTATCGTCAGATAAGCATAATTTTATACCTTATTTGGCATGGGATCCAGGAGGCGGAACCCCCGGAGGCTCAGAGGTGTTAGGCAATAGATTACGGTCAGATGAGCATCCAGGGGCCCGCCTTAGGTCCATTGGTTGGGTTCGGAGGGCAGAGCCCCGGAAGCTCAGGGCTTTAGGCATTTAATTACGTCAGATGAGCATAATTATACCTTATTTGTGACACTGGCAGGTAACTAATTGGCGTGGGGTCCAGAAGCTCAGGGGTTTTAGGAATTTTATAACGGTCAGATGAGCATATTTTGATACTTTTGATATCTTTATATTTCTTTTTTTTTCCCCTTCTTTTTTTCCTTCTTTTTTTCCCCTCCCCCCCCCCCCCCCCCCCTTGGATCCGCCACTGCCATGCACCCACCCGCTTCACACTAATGACAATTACAATAGGTCAGCTAGGCTTTCGTGTGTGTGTGCCCAGGTCTGCACGAGTGAGAACTCGCCAATCATCCATATCAAACTCCATCCACATGTACAACGGAATGTCTCGAAGATCCAGTGTTGTAATTCCCAAATTGGTTTAAGACGCAAGTACATGACTTGGATACCCAACCCAACCTCCTCAGTATATTTATTTTTTATCTCACTTGTTAATTCGTTTGATCACCTGACACCTCCTCTTGCTCTGCTTTAATTACTATGTTAACTATTGTTCTGAATTAGTGTTTATAAAACAACATTCGATCCTCTGTTAATTTGTGCTAAATCATAATTATGTTAAACCTTGTTTATTGACTGTTAATGTCTACATTTTTGTCAATTCATTAGTAAATGTTGATCTGTAGGCCTATATGTTACACCAGCCAAAATAAAATATCCCGAAATGGACAATAAATACTAAATTGATTGCATGAATTGAATTGATTGATTGAAATTGAAATTATTTGTGTTTGTATGCATCTTATTAAATGTACTTAAAAATGTATAATGATGTAAAATGAAGAAATATTTGTTACTTTATTTATATGAGTATGTTCTATTTTGAAAATGTAGAAATAAAAACAATGTACAATGTATGGATTTCATTGTCATTGTTTATCTATAAAGCCTAAAAATGGTGCAATGCAACATTGTAAATCACTTTTCAAAGACTTTAATTCATGAGATGGATTGAGATTAGCAACATCATTACATATTGCACATATGCTAATTAGAGGATTATGCTAATAGGGCTATTAAAAAAGTTGCCCAGGGTTGCCTAGCTGGCAACCAGGCTGAATTTACTTTAATATCCATCTAGAACACAAATCAACAAAAAAAACCTTGTACTTATCAAGTTTTCCAGGTCTGAAAAACTTCTACAGGACTATACCTACGACCAACAGGAAAGAATTTCACTTTTGTGAATCTTTAAATGCTACTCGTACGTGTAATACTACTACTACTATATGCTATCACTTTTATTACTAATAATAATATTGATAGTTATTATAAGCATAATGATCATTATAATAATGTATTATTATTATTATCATTATTATTATCTATTGTCTACACACACCCATATATATAGCCTATATATACATATATATTTATATCAAAAATATGAATGTATGCATGTAGGTATGATGGGTTTATGGATGACCTTGATATTATACATTCATATTTATACAAATATAATTAGGTCCTCAATACTATACATTCCGTTACAACTAGTACTAGAACTTAAAATTTCCTATGCACTCTTTTACAAGAACAAATCGGAGAGAAAACGTGTATTTCTGCGTACTTTACTAGAATCTTTATTTTTATCAAATTGTGTAGAATCTAAATGGAACTTACAAAGAAACGTAATTCTTAAAAGAGGTAAAAATCAGTTAATAGGAACACACCGACACTTTATGTGAAGAGAAAGAATCAATAAAAAAGATATGGCTAGATGCCCTTTGTCTGTGTAGCGTCCCTGTCTATGACAGAGACTTACTAAAGGCCAATAAAAGTACCTAGGGGTTCCGTGGATTCAAGTGACCTCGCCAATTTAAACATTTTTTTGGAGAAACCTCCTTCAGTTTTGCTCGTCAGACAATTTTCAAAGCGAAAAGGGAAACCTTAGCATCCTTGAATAGAGAAAGTCTCTCCAGGTGACCCACTCCTTTCCCCACATAGGAACAGTTGTTTTTTTTCAATATAAAAAAAACTGCACTATTTTTTCATGTTCAGATCTTTAATCTTGATTTGGCCTCTTCAAAATTTGGGGAATAGTACATGGTGGCCTAATAAAAATGGACTAGCATGCTTCCAATAATGTGGAGTCACATTCACGGAAACCACCAGAAGGAGAATCTTTTCACATGAAAAATACCAGTTTTCACAAAATTTGGTAGAAGTGTTTTCGTTTTAGGGAGAAGTTCAAATTTGTTTGTTTTCAATGAAACTGCTTTCTTAAACAATTTGTTTAATTCTATGTCTGTGTGTCGTTGACAAATGCATGAAAAATAAAAATGTGTGTGGAATGTTATGTTTGTGTGCTACCTGACATTTATTACAGCTTGACCAAATCTCTGTTATAATACCATTTCTTAAACAACGCAGTCCTACGTTGTTTTCTGCAGGGAAGACTGCCAGATGAGGTAGTCAACATTGTTTTGTTAAAGGTATCTAGAAAAGAAATACTCGACCAATTTTGGTGGATTTGGTAACATTTTCCTTCTCCAAAGATTTCCCATCTCTTGTTGCCATTTGCACCATGCTACTGGAACTATGCTTGTCCGTTATTTATGGGACACCCTGTATATAAAATGAGTCCTTAAGAAGTGACTTTTACAGAAAAGTAATAAAAAATTCATCTTACCTTAATTGGGTCACTGCGATAATTATTAAGCAACACCTTAATTGATATAACACATCAAAAATATACACCATAAACTATAATTCATTACACTATTTGATATACATATGTTTGCTACATAAAACCAATTTCCCATTAATATATAGTATACAAATTGAAGACATATTTTTAAGATTACAGACCCAGGCCTCTCCACCATACATTGATTAATTGTCATATAATAAACATATACTTGCATATTATGGACCCCTATGAAATGGCTTTTACAGCCAAAATACTTAAACATTCATCTCCCTTTAATTGGGTTCCTGCAATAATTATGAAATAACAAAAATATACACCATAAACTATAATTCATTACACTATTTGATAAACATATGTTTGGTACATAAAACCAATTTCCCATTAAAATATAGTATACAAATTGAAGGCATATTTTAAAGATTACAGACTCAGGCCTCTCCACCATACATTGATTAATTGTCATATAATAAACATATACTTGCATATTATGGACCCCTATGAAATGGCTTTTACAGCAAAAATACTTTAAAAATTCATATCCGTTTAATTGGGTCCCTGCAATAATTATTAAGCAACATCTTAATTGATATACAGTAGGTTTGCGGTTGCACCATGTGTGTGAGAGAGAGAGAGAGGTTTGAGGAGTCCTGAAAAGGACTCTGACTTGGTAATCTTTCTTGGAGGAGTGTAGTCCTGAAAAGACTGTTTGTTATCTTTCTTAGCATATAGTTCTCAGGAGAACTATAGCGCTTGGAGAGGATGAGTGGCTCGACGTTTCGAACAGGTTGACTAGCTGTTCGAAACGTCGAGCCACTCATCCTCTCCAAGCGCTATAGTTCTCCTGAGAACTATATGCTAAGAAAGATAACAAACAGTCCTTTTCAGGACTACACTCCTCCAAGAAAGATTACCGAGTCAGAGTCCTTTTCAGGACTCCTCAAACCTCTCTCTCTCTCTCACACATGGTGCAACCGCAAACCTACAGTATATCTACATCACCATGCAAGCCGACACTTACAAGCAGCATCTTAATTGATATGACACAACAAAAATATACACCATAAACTATAATTCATTACACTATTTGATAAACATGTTTGGTACATAAAACCAATTTCCCATTAAAATATAGTCTACAAATTCAAGACATATTTCAAAGATTACAGACACAGGCCCCCCACCATACATTGATTAATTTTCATATAATAAACATATACTAGCATATTATGGACCCCTAAGAAATGGCTTTTACAGCAAAAATACTTAAAAATTAATCTCCCTTTAATTGGGTCCCTGCAATAATTATGAAATAACAAAAATATACGCCATTAACTATAATTCATTACACTTTTTGACATATGTATGTAAAAAAAACTAATTTCCAATTAATCTATAATATACAAATAATTTATGTTTGTGAGTTCATTAGTGAATATGCACTGCACACAAATTAAGTTACTTTCGGACAATGGACAAGACTTGTCAAAGTCATTATCAAGCTCATTGTGACTTAACAGATTAGAGTCTATATCACTGTTTGAATACACAAGCTCCAAAACTTGAATAATTACATTTATAAAACGGGTCGGCAATGTGGTTATAAAGTCAAGAAATAAGCAACATACCCAATCAAATTGCCAAGAGTTGTACAGTTATGAAGGCCATCATTTGCTTTATTGATTAATATCAAATAAGCGGGCAGACAAACAGTTTAATACGCGTCACAGTGCATGCATCAATGTCCTTCCATTCGAAACTGCGTGTATTTCGTCGCGTCTTAATAGTGTTCCCACCAGGAATACGCTTAGGCGCATCTCAGCCACTTTTTAATGGGAATTTTTGTTTGCACTGTAGGGGTGGTAGGAAAGTCTGATGCATGGTCATGTGTTGTCTTTTGACCAATTAAATTGCCTGCATTCTAGAACCCGTTTTATAATCATCATTATGTCATAATATCCTATTACATTCCTTGTATCGTTTGCTATCATAAAGTTATCTGTAAAATATGATTGTCTTTCAAACTGCATAATACAAATTATCCCTACAGAAAGTGGGATTTCATACCTTAACAAAGATATAATAAAGGACATTTAAACCAATAAATTCTTTTACACTTTTATCATTCTGTAACTATTAATGCAATAAACAAACATGGCATGAAAAGTACCATTAATCTTTTAAGATAAGTAAAATTGATTTAATTACATTAGCAAATTACACTAATAATTCTACACTGATCAAATTTACCCACATGATGTAAAGACATGTAATTTTCATATATAGAAAAGAAAAAACACTTAATAGAATTAAATTATTCATGTCATGTTTATAATCATACACATAAATCTAAAGTGAACTGCTAAGAATAATTGGATTACCGTAATCTAGAATGGTCTTAAAGATAAAATTTATTAAAAAAATAAGCCTCTGCGATCAATTCGACATCAATTTTCCATGAGCTTTTAAAATGATTCATAAAGAATAATTTAATTAATTTATCTCTCCTCATGATCGTATTTACAAAAATTTGCCATGTTTTATAGCAATTTGTAGAGAATAATTTGATAAAGCATCTAGTCTGAAATCCATAAGGCCCATATTCTACTAAAATTGGGCTTTAGCTTTCGTTCAACTTATTAAAGTATAAGCTTTGCTTTGTTAAAAGTGATCTTAGCCCTAGGGTTGGCTTTAACTGAATAAGTAGAAATGGACCTTTGTCTTTGCAATTGTTTTGACGTAAATTTGCTATGGGCTTTATAGTGATTGGACGTATGAGTATAATTTTGATTAATTCTCTCGAATTGTCTTATAGATGAAATCGATAAAACTTGAAACTCGAGTTTTGCCTGATGGCGAGTATGCTTCGCCACAGGTTATTCCCCAGCTAGTGATGCCATAGATAGTCCAGCGACCGTTCACCTCCTGTACCAGTGGACCCCCACTATCACCCTAAATGGGGAAAAAAGGGAATGAGTGATGACAAATATATATTCTGTTTGAAGTTATATCATAGCTATATAGGTACTGTTACACAACAGATTTGTTTGCCTTCTGAGTTCGCTTTCGTTACTGGCTATAAGTAGAGCAAAGTGACACACCAAATGAAACTCTTTCATTTGAAGAAGTTCAAAAAAATTACAAAATGATGATAACATTGGCCTGAAATGGTCTGACGATTACATATCTCAGTAGTGCCATGAGACTGGTTTCTTCTGAAGGGGTGGGGATAGGGGCATACAAAAGGAAAATAAATTGAGCCAAAACAAAAAGGCAGGTATTTGTTCTATATTAATATTGATGCTGTATTCTTTCATTTGGTGCCGTATTCCTTTTGGTTCTGTATTCTTCTACAGGCATGGCATGGTATCTATTTTTTTATCAAAGAAACGTGGGTGGACTCATCAGTTCGGTGATGTCATTTTTTTTTAAAACACCACAAACTCTAAGTTTTGATCCCCATAAATTGCATTAGATATTTGTCATGGACTGTTGGTCTGCTTCAAAACAAATGGATGTAGATTATTGAAAATAACATTAAAAAAAGTTTGAAAATACATGTATGTTGTATGAAGGACAGTATGACTTACAGTGCAAGAAGCCTGATATCCAGTATCGTACATTGTACAGAACATTGACGGCAAAACATGGAAGAAATTTCTCAGAGGTCTCTGACATATGTTGTTTGGTATCACAGGTGCTCTGGCCTTCTGCAGATTACGAGGTAAGGGCCCTTCAAAAATGTAAGAAAAACGGTTGAAATATATTTGAATTGAGCATAGATGGTAATGCAGATAAAAGAAACCAAATAATAGAAAAACTGAAGACAAAATGTGATTGCGTCTCCAATATGCCTCTGTTACGATCATGGTTTAAATTTTGAATAGCTTATAGGTATCTTCATGACCTTTGACCTGACTATACCAAAGTATGATCACTTGTCTCCATACGGCGATACAGATTAGTTTAATACAAATGTTAAGTTCCCAGCTAAAACAGCTTTGAAATAGTTGATATGGTGATGACAAGGTTATTTAATTACATGAATACTAGACAACTTGATGACCTTGACCTTCTTAACCCATTGACTACTGAATTCTCGAATCCCCTTTGTTTGATATAGGAGCAACCTTATTCCAGTAGGCAATGGATAATACCCGAAAGATCCAATCATATTGTCTCACTATATACCAAGTTTAAAGTTCATACCTCTAAAGGCTCGTTCAGATATGGCGCAGTTAAATCATTTTTTATTAACACTGTCATTATGTTAAAGGTGTCATGATTTTATCCACCCATTTATCCCTCCAGGCTTTAAAGACACTATGTCCCTTTTGCAGCCAACATCAAATTCTGTAGAACTTTGCAGGAATTATGAATATGTCATGTATGTCCTATCTGTGAAATTTAAACGTTAGCAGTGTTCTTATATTCAAATTATGGAAGGAAACCCGTTTACTTGCTAGACTTCACTGTCAGACACTATTGAGTGACTGACTGGCTTTTTTCTTATTTGGGAATAACATACATAAAATGAGCTGAAAAGGGTTCATGAGCATTTGTCTACATCAAACCCACTTCTTGTAATGGCCAAAATGTAACTGATTTAATCTTTGCGCAGCATAAAACGTACGACCATTCGGTACAATGGTCTCAAAATGAGACTGTCACTTACTGGCGCTATATCTCTTAAGTCGATTTGACAACTAATAGTCGTTGTTTTCCCACTTAAGACATTTTCAAGCCCCCCCTTTTTTTTAGGGAAGTTCTAAATTAGTATTATCTTTCAAATGCCGTTGGAATTTAAACTTTTGATTTTTTCGGCCTGCAAATGGGACATATAGTACCTTTAAAGGTAGTGTATCCCTTTTGCAGCCAACATCAAATTCCGTATAACTTTGCAGGAATTATGAATATGTCATGTATGTCCTATCTGTGAAATTTAAACGTTAGCAGTGTCCTAGTATTCAAATGATGCAAGGAAACCTGTTTACTTGCTAGACTTCACTGTCAGACACTATTGAGTGACTGACTGGCTTTTTTCTTATTTGGGAATAACATACATAAAATGAGCTGAAAAAGGTACATGAACATTTGTCTACATCAATTACCCACTTCTTGTAATGGCCAAAATTTAACTGATTGAATCTTTGCGCAGCATAAAACGTACGACCATTCGGTACAATGGTCTCAAAATGAGACTGTTACTTACTGGCGCTATAGCTCTTAAGTCGATTTGACAACTAATAGTCATTTTCTTCCCACTTAAGACATTTTCAAGCCCCCCCTTTTTTTTAAGGAAAGTTCTAAATTAGTATTATCTTTCATATGCTGTTGGAATTTAACCTTTTGATTTTTTTTGGCCTGCAAATTAGACATAGTACCTTTAAAGGTAGTGTATCCCTTTTGCAGCCAACATCGAATTCCGTATAACTTTGCAGGAATTGGGTTTAGGCAATGGGTTTACCCAAAATATCCAATCATATTGTCTCACTATATACCAAGTTTGAAGTTCATACCTCTAAAGGCTCGTTCAGATATGGCGCAGTTAAATCATTTTTATTAACACTGTCATTATGTTAAAGGTGTCATGATTTTATCCACCCATTTATCCCTCCAGGCTTTAAAGACACTATGTCCCTTTTGCAGCCAACATCAAATTCTGTAGAACTTTGCAGGAATAATGAATATGTCACGTATGTCCAATCTGTGAAATTTAAACGTTAGCAGTGTCCTAGTATTCAAATGATGCAAGGAAACCTGTTTACTTTCTAGACTTCACTGTCAGACTTCACTTTTGAGTGACAGACTGATTTCTCTTGTTCTTGTGTAATAACATACATAAAGTGAGCTGTAAAGGGTACATGAGCATTTGTCCACATCAATAATCCACTTCTTGTATTGGCCAAAATTAAGCTGATTGAATCTTTGCGCAGCACAAAACGTACGGTACAAGAGTCTGAAAATCAGACTTTTTAATGAAACAAGTGTTATTTTTCCACAAAAAGACATTTTTAAGCCCTTCTGTTTTGAGGGAAGTTCTAAATTAGTATTGTCTTTCAAATGCCATTGAAATTTGACCTTTTCATTTTTTTGGCCTCCAAATGGGACATTGTAGGCCTACCTTTAAAGGGCAATCCAACATTTGTAATATGTTCATTTGTTCGAAAGCAGAAAAATAAGAGAAACAAAATGGTGAAAGTTGAAAATATTTGGACCAATGATAAGAGTTATGAGTTTTAAATTATGAGATAACTGAATCTATGTGAATCTCAAATTGGCTATTTGGTCACAATGGTCAGTGCATTTTGAGGTTGCCATGGACAACTCTCACATTTGTAGTGTACACAAATATCATTGAGAAGTGCCTTCTCCCTTGGGCAGAACTTGGGACAGCATATTATTATAGGTCCTCTGAAAAGAAAAGACCCTCCTGGGTCATATATTTTGAAAAATTGACATTTCACCCATTTTATGTGTTGAAACAAATTGTCAAAAAATTGTCAGCCTGGACATATATAAATTCAGCCAACTTGAAGTGCACATATATGTAGTGATTTAAACTTCCAAAAATTACATTAGCCGGTATTCATTTTTATCTGTGATATTGTATGTTTTGTTTTATTTCCACTTTTTCATATCAATACAAAGAAACATACAAATAAATATGATGAAATAACATGTAAGTTTGACAAAATTTGTTTCTAGTTAAAATAAAAGTTTCATACAAAAGGAAAAAGCAGGAGACCACATGTCGTAAGCGTAAATGCTTGCAGATGACCGTGGCCTCTGCTGAGTTAACAAAATAAAAGAACAACCCATGCAATTGCATTGTATTCAATGTTAAATAAGATATAAGTGAAGTGATTAAAAGTGAGCATGGCTGAATTAATTTTGAGTGAAAATATGAACATATCTAAGAAAGCTGTAGAAAGTGTGATTATAATCCTACCTCCTCTCTCGCCAAAGCTTCCCCATCCTGTAAACGTGACATAGGAACCCACTTCAGGAAGATGATCCCCTGGAGGGGGCAGACACACGGGCTGGACAGCATCCGTGAAATTGAGCGGAGTTGATAGCTTGAGGAGAGCGATATCATTTTCAAGTGAATATGAGCCAAACAGCGGGTGTATAAATATCTCAGATACTTCATGGACCTGCCCTGCTGTATCATGAGTAAGCATTCCTGCTTGAATTTGGAATGGAGAGTACCGGTAGAAGTCTTCCCTGCACAAAGAAAAACAAACATGATTCAAGGAGAAATCTTCTCAAGGGCAACTTCATACCTTATTATTCTGCCTTTTAAAATTCTTTTTCTGATTATAATAATAATTGGATTTATATAGCACCTTTTCCAGAGGATAAAAAGGTGCTATCACTTATTAGTCAATCAACAAATTAAGAAGAATTGTTGAGGTGTGTTTCATATGTCTCCCAGAAGCAATAATATCACAGACATTCCGCTGAGATTTGATGTTCAGCCTGCGATCAACATCTGACTTCCTCTTGCATCAATGTCTCTCTGCAAATCATCAGCCACGTCGAGCTTCAATCACAAATATGAATACAGTGCAAACAATTAATGCACCAAGTTACTGATCCATGTTCAAATCTAAACTGGTGCATGTACAAAGTGGCATTGGAAGCTCATTTGGGGTAATTGGTAACATAACACAAATGTTGCATAGAGTGCAATAGTATAAAAAAATGCTGTTATAGCTTACACGCAGTGTGCTGCAGTGAGGATCCAATCATTGGCAATGATACTTGCACCACATATAAATCGAGCACCGTTCGCGTAGAGGGCAACTTGCCATGGGGCTTCTCCCAGGATGGTAACCTCTGATCCGTGAGTGACACGATGTACGTCCAGGGCAGGGCGCAACCCACACTCTTCTGGGAGAACTTTAAATAAAGCAACGCAAAAGGAGGATTTTTTGTGAATGACTTACAGGAAACTAGACCTACACACCATCAAAGTACATTAAGCAATTTTGTTATGCCTTTATGGCATGATTTCATGATGACAAGTTCTCCTTTTCACTTATCATTGAACTATTATAATTATGTCAATGAACATTTTATAACCTCATTTCACGTTTTCTTGTATTTTACTGTGAATATGACTTTTTTTAAAACAATTACAAATTGAATTGAATTGAATTAAATTGAACTGTTCTCTATGTCAAATGAATATGAACATTAATCTTCATATAGTGGACATACAGTACCATTCTCTTGGTCCACTTTGCAGAAGGGGCCTGTTTTGTGAAGGGCATAATGCTTGTTAATGCGGTATCATGGGACTATGAATAATGGTAATGATATCTCACTCTTTGTGAATTGCAGGGTATCTATATGCTCTCATATTCTAAATGTACCCAAAGGAAAAGGTAGCTCTATTTGTATCAAATAACTTAGTCACATGTGATGTTTGCATGCATATCTCTGCATGCCCTTCAACAATTTCCAATGAAAAGTTCACATCAATTGTGCAAAAATTGTAAATATCCAAAGTTCCAATTACACCATTTACTACATAGTCATCCATTCAGGATGCCTCCTAAATTTGTCTTCAAAAGTGTAACAACATTACTAGTATTCAGTGTAGCATTTTAAAGAACATGAATTTTTATGACTTACTAGGCTGCTTGCAATTTCTTTCATCATTTCCATCAATGCACTGTTTCTCTCCGTCACAAATAGCATTACTGCTGATGTTCACACGGCCCTCACTACACAGAAGTGGGCCTCCTATTATCATAGAAACATGAAAAGAATTGCCATGGAAACACTGTTATACACATCTTATTATTAGAGTTCATAGAAAAAATATACACACAAAATTTTCGGAAGACGATTGTTTTCATTAACTACCAAAACTTTGTGTAAATTCTTTTCCTTATAAATTGTTTAAAAAAAGCATGAAACTTTTTCGAATGCATTTCATTTTCCATTTTATCATTCCAACACGTGGACCTATAGTTTTCCATAATATTTGCAGATAGATAAAACTATGTATATGTATATAGTCTACATGTTGTACATGTATAAATACAAACATATAATGTCATAAAAGTACTAATAACAAGTACAACTTTACAACATTAAACAAATAGATGCTGCTTGTAAGTGTCGGCTTGCATGGTGATGTAGATATACAGTAGATTTGCGGGTGCACCATGTAAGAGAGAGAGAGAGAGGGTTGAGGAGTCTTGAAAAGGACTTTGACTCAGTAATCTTTCTTGGGGGTGTGGTAGTCCTGAAAAGGACTTTTTGTTATCTTTCTTAGCATATAGTTCTAAGGAGAACTATAGCGCTTGGAGAGGATGAGTGGCTCGACGTTTCGAACTGGTTGACTATCCGTCGTCACTCCTGTTGGACAAAGTTAATTTTGAATACAATGGCAGCACACAAGGATTATTCTTTTTCTAAATACATGTACTTACCTACGAACTCAGCAGGTCTAAGATCGAGTTCAAATGCTGCATCCGTGGACTCATATGAGTGTAGGTGAACCCACAACGCTTCTGATTCAAAAAGCAACTCCAACAGTGGTGAGTAAGGAGACAAGACCACAGCCCGTGTTTCAGTAAGGCTATCATCCAGTCCTAGTCCTATGACCAATGAGCTCATCTGGCCCAATTGAATCATGCGGACCTGGACCGCGTAACCGCTGAGGCCTCTCGTGTTTGTGATCCGCCATGTAGCATCAACAGTGTAATCAGAGTAGGCCAGTTGGTATGTTAGGTTCTTCCAGGCTTCAGATGAGAGTTCAATATCTATGGAAGAAAATAAGAGACAGTTATAAATTTTGTGATGGGCAGCATGGGGCAGGGACACATCTGCTATGATTTTGACAGCAGGGCCAGGGGCGGATCAAGGATTTTCCAGTAGGAGGGGGGGGGGGGGGGGGGGGGGGGGGGGGCAAAATGTACAAAATTGGTACCGCGATCGAAACTTTTACAGCTTGCAGTCCGGGAAAATTTTGAACATTAAGATGCTTTATGGCACATTCTGAGGTATTTCTGAATGAGTAAACTGAACATTTATTTACGTATTTAAAAAAAACTAGATGGATCTTCGACTGCGCGCAGTTGAAAATGATCCCTTTGGTAAAAAGAGCAATTTTATAAACCAAAAAAGAAGCAATTTTTAAAATTTAAGTTTGATTGTAATCCATTAATAGGTTCTCAGAATATCGTGATTACGAGCTATTTTTCATAAACATGTATGACCCTTCGATCTTTAACCTCATGACCCGTAAAAATCTAATCAGTTCATTGGCTCTGCAAGATACATAGGCCTACATGTCCTGAGTTTGTTAGTAATCCATCCGTCAGTTCTAATGATAATGTGTTCACAAGCTATTTTTGCATACATAATGAGCCCAATGACCTTTGACCACATGACCCCCAAATCTAATCAGTTCATTGGCTTTGCAAGATACATAGGCCTGCATGTCCTGAGTTTGTTAGTAATCCATCCGTCAGTTCTAATGATAATGCGATCAGGGGAACAGGACGGGAACGGGGCGTACAGACAGACGTACAACCCGAAAACATAATGCCTCCGGCTACCACATTGCAGAGGCATACACAATTTAGAAGGTAAAAGGGGGGAGGGGCATGCACTCCCACCCTCCACCTGGATCCGCCCCTGAGGGCAGCTAGGAAGCATGATAATTTCTACTAATAGGATTTTTGCTGTAAAATGTGGAAAATATATCCTATAAAATTTGTTCACATATTGATCTTACCTACTAACTAATCCCATCAATTGAATTAAAAGTGATCATTATCTGCTGTAGGTCAGTACGGGTCAGGGTTTGATATCAGTATAGAAGTTTACCCTGAAATTAAGTTGGTTTTAATCGAGGCAGGAAAATGAGAGAAACAGGTCAGTGAAAGTTTGGGCAAAAACTGATTAAAAATAAGAAAGTTTTGAACTTTAGAAGGTGCAATCAATCACACACAAATTGGCAACTCTGTGACATTCTTTGCAAGCTCCTCTCCCATTTGCCCTGGGCTAAGAACCTATAAATTTGTAATCATATATTCATCCTAAATAATTATTGCATATATCTTTTTTGGATATACAAACCCTACATGAAACAAATATGTTCTGTCATGAATAACAAACAAATATGAAAGTTTATATCATTTTCTGTACAGAGCAAATAATAGCGGAGCTCGTATGATTTGTTACAGTGTTGCCCATTTGTGTTTCACTGATGAAAACTTCAAGTTTTCATCAGTTGAATATCAGTTGAATATAAAAATTAACCGGTGCTCCCAGTAAAAAATGTTGATAAATTTTAAATAGCACCTACGGACGTACAATGGTAGTTGCGACTATGACAATTTCAGAACATGTAGTTGTGATATATCATTTCCAAACGGGAATAGCTAATTGGTCTATTTTAGTCAAGAAAATTGTTTTATAGCTTAATTAATATATTGACCTTGAAAGGGAGCTATACAACATAAAGATTTAATTATTCACAATTTCATAACTTTAGACACGATTTCAACCGCGACAACGATCACTCAATATTGTAAGATTGCATATGCTTCCAATATGTTCATTTGAACCAATTTCATGACCACATACCAAAACTTTGTATTACCTTTAATACTAGGGTGGACTTCGCCTTTAATTAGAATATAAGTAATTCTGGGAAAATAAGATCAACAAAGTAACATCTTTACGGGAAGGTCCATTCTATTTCATTTTTGTGTGTCCCATACATCCCATAGAATCACGATTTATGACGGAGTAAAAATAAAAGTTAAAAATTTCCTTGACATTTGATGTGATCTTAACTACAGTAAAGGTTACCAACTTATTACATTCTCCAGGTACACTAAACCACTTGTTATGGTCAGAAATGTATGGAAAAAATATCTTGCAATTGAGGTAATATAATAGTAATAATAGTAAGGTAATGGTTTATTCATTGAGAAATTCAATAATTTACGGCCAGTTGGCCTAATCACAGATTTATGGATAAAGTAAAAAGAATATATAAACTTGGAATTTACCATAATTGTCACACTCATGTTCATCGTCGCCTGATGGGCAGTCTGATATGTGATCACACTTTTTATCTGCTGGAATAACCGACAAATCTGAACACTCAAAGTATTCACCTTAAAGACAAAAAGAAGAAGCAATAGGTTAATGGACTTTCATGTTAAGAAATGAGTTTGAGATTGAGTTTAAGTTTATTAACAACAAAAATAATAACAAGTATAATTACATAAAATATAACAATATAACACAATATAAATAACATTACACATGAATAAGATTTGTAAAACATTGTTTTACAAAGTATGTTATATAGTATATACAAATGAAATAAAATATTATGTGTACACTTTTGTTGTTAAAGGGGGTACCAGAAGTTAGCACAAGTGCTAGTCGAGTCTGGTTCCCTGTCTTTTGCAAGAATTTAAAAACTAATTTTTAATATACTATATTACATATATATATATATACATGTAACATAAACTATATATAAAATGAAAGTAAACAAGGAAATAGAATAGTCATTTAGAAATATTCCTTACCGGTACTTAATATATACATGCAAGTCAAATGTATCTCATCGCCATTTTCTGGGTAAGGAAAATTCAATTCAAATTGGTTTTGTTTGTGGTTCTCCATACTTAACGTTTTTGTACTAGATTAACGTTTTGTATAATAGTACCAACATTTTCCTGTGGGACATAATAATAATACTATAAGTTTTTATAAAACGCTTATTACAATCACTAAGCGCTTCCAAACTCCAAACCCCAGCATAGCATTTGTTATTGATATCAAGATTTATAGAACAGGGCCCAGATTTCTATCAAATGTGACAGAAATATAGGAGAATTCTGAAAGCAACACCCATATTGAAATTTAAATATGAAATAGTTCTAATGATTTCAGATTTATCAGCATAATTGTTAAGAACCACTTCTATACTATATAAATATATTTATCCTTCTTAAAATAATTTACTTGAGAAAGCCCTTTTGGCAATAGTGTGTGAATGTATACCTCTCTAATGAGCATCGTATTTTTAATCATTCTGCCTAAACAAATATCAACATGGTTTTACTGAGAATAACTGGGCTCAGAGCATGTACAATTCAAATTATTGTATCTTTCAATTTAATTATGAACATTCATTTGTCTAGTTATTTGAGATTTTTGTTAATTTGCCTATTTAAATCACATATTTAATTCATACATATGTACATGTATACTACATGTACATGTATATAAATGTATTCATATAATATATAAAGCAGGATAAAGCAGATGATAAGCTATCAGCCACATGGCTTCATCAGCTTTTTATTTTGCTAATGAAAAACACACAGCAATATAAAGCAAAACAACTTGATCTGCAAAATAAAAGCTGAAGGATGGCAGAGGATGATTGCTTCTCAACTCAATTCTTCATTCTGTGACCTTAATCATACCCTCACACACAAACACATTTATATATTTATATATGTACATACATATATATATATATATATATGTATAAATTGAAAAAAGGAAAGCTAGAGTTCTACTTGGAGTACGGGAATATACACAAATAAAAAAACAAAACAATGCTCTGTGCAGGAAGAAATTGTATAACAATTACATGTATTTCTTGCATTTTTGTATATATATATACACATATACAGCATGATGAAGGTCTCTATAATTAATTGACGGACTTACTTTCAAATCTTGTAGAGATAAGCTGCAAGACAAAGCCTTCAGAGGAAATAATGAAATCTGTTGTCATTTGTAGCCAGATCTTTGTACTGTTTAGATGGATAACATAGGGGAAACTTCCGTAATCGTAGTAAGATGTGGAGGCACTGCAGAAATCAGAAGTAACTGATCGCTTCTTCCGACCATCTGACTCTGGTTCTTGGAAAGTGTCTGAAAGTGTTTTAGAGGCACTTACAGAAGACTCCGCAATGCCCTGATTTTCAATAGAGTATGTCCCGGTGAATCGGTACAGGTAATGTCCATCAAAAGTACCAACCCCGATATCCAAGAAATCATAGCCGGATTCTAAAGAGAAGACATCGAATTTCATGCGTATACCAGAGTCTCCAACTGCTCCAGTTATAGTCCAGATATAGTTTAGTCTGTTAGAGTAGTCGTTTGGATATGAAGGTGATGTCAGGTTGAAACACTCTCCTGTGTTAAGGACTACTTCATCTGTGATGAAATACAATAAAATACATAAATTGATATGTATCTTCCTCATGTTTTTTAATGACCCAATGAGGCTCATACTGTGTATCATTTCACAATTTAATTGCTGTTTCCGTCTGCATTTATTGCTTTTCCCTTCTTGAATCATATCGTTTGTCACTTAAGGATTGATAGGGCATTGTGTACATTGAAATTGGTATAATAGCTGGAAATCTGGAGAAAACATAATAAAAATATATGGCAGTTTTAAGGTAGTCTGACATGTATTCCGATTTATGGACGATGTGCTTGCCCTATAAACCCTGTTGGTAATACACAAAATTATTTTTAAATTAATTAAATTATTGCTAAATACTGTGAAAGAATGCTCAATATCAATATCATCATTTCCTGGATATTGAATTGAATTTAGAGGAAGGTTTTATTATCTTTTTTTATTTTGTTACAGCCAGTGGCCCAATTGTGAAAGATTTAAAGACATTCATGATAGCGATACACAATGAAATGTACATACTTAGTCATTATTACACATGTCCAAATGTTTAACATGAATAAGACAATAAATGTACTTATTTTGTACAGGATGTATTATTATAATGTATTATCCAAATTTAAAATGCTGATAATCCTTTTGAAAAACATAAAGCCAAGCAACAACAACAACAAAGTGCAAATACACTTTAACTCATATCCTGCCATAAGGCCACCTGCACGCTAGCTACCGTTATAGTGCTTTGTACACGCGAGCACGTACTGAGTGGCTGCTTAATTCCTGCGAGCGACCCATTGCTTCGGTGCTTTATGCGTGATTGCTCGCATTTGTAATAGCAGTTATTGTTCATGCTCATTGTACTGTGCCTAGTGCTTTGCACAGGCTATCGCGTTAATCAGATTGTCTCAAAATGAACTTGGCACAGGGGGGAATTTGAGGCTTGGCACAATGGGGATTAGCCCTGTGGCATTAGGCTGTGTTCATTATGGCAGGATAAGAGTTAATGTATAATACATAATGTGATGTAAGCCTAAAATAAAAACTTGACTGGCTTGCACCAAAAGAGAGAAATAGTGAAATGATAGAATTGATGACATGACTAGTTGATGGCCTAGTTGATGGCATATATTGTAGTTGTAGTGTAGTGGTGGCAGCATTAGAATATGATCCGCATCATCAATACTTAACATAATTGTAAAGACTTAAGAAAATCAACCTCAGGCAATGTCAATAGACCAGTTTATTGATAGCAGATGGTAAAAATATCCCAGATCTTTTAAATATGGAGAAATATCAATTTATTTATTAATAGAATATCCACTGCCAAAGTTCTTCATGAATAACTTCTGTTTGCCCTCTTGAAAAGAATAATTCGACCTGTGTATCATACAGTGTACCTTAGGTGCATAAATGAATGATTACGTGACTTCATGAACATGTATCCTGTATTTATCTCAGTGGGTATTACAGATCTGTACAAATGTCCTAGCTGTATCTGCCCATGTGCAAATAGTAGCTACAGACAGGCTAATAGCCTTTTGTGTCATCTTAAGAGATCGATGTACTTAAAGTAACATGAAAATACAACATACAACATAATCCGAAAATGATTTCTGAGGGCAAGACAATGGGATATTATAATTGCCCTTGAGTCGATTTCTTGAAAGTCTTTGTGATCATGTTACCATATATATATATATATATGCTGCTTATGATAACACCCCTGTCATACAAAACTGGACCGAATGCATCTCCTGTCCGATTGGGAGCTTACGAGCATCATATTAAATGTACCAAGAGCCTCTAACTTTAGCGTTACATCATATAATCTACTATTCTAAACATAATCCCATTGCACAGGAGGCGTCATTTGACTGGCGGGGGATATCATGATATCGTGAGGGTGACATTGCAAGGTGAAAAGGGCAAACAATGCTTTCAAAACTAAATGGATCTACGACTGCATGCAGTCGAAAATGAAGCGGCAATTTTACAAACCAAAACCAGAGCAATTTTGAAAATTCAAGTTTGATTGTGATCCATGAGAACAGGTTATCAGAATATCGTGATTACCAACTATTTTTCATAAACATGTATGACCCTTTGATCTTTGACCTCATGATCCTAAAATCTAGTCAGTTAATTCATTGGCTATGCAAGATTCGTACATGTTCTGAGTTGTTCTTATGATAATATAATAATAATGATACATAATGAGTCCCATGACTTTGACCTTTTCACCTCATGACCCCAAAATCTAATCAGTTCATTGGCTCTGCAAGGTATATACATGTATATGACCGAAGTTTGGCAAAAATCCGACAATAGGTTCTTGAGATCAGGCAATCACGAGAACAGGAGGTACAGACAGACGGACGGATGTACGGACAACCCAAAAACATAATGCCTTCGGCTACTTCGTGGCGGAGGCATAAAAAACGGCATACTGGCTGATTGCCTTTCCAGGCCCAACTTATGGAGGTAATAATGCAATGGAAATGATGCACTTTGTGCAATGGGCAATGAAACACTTATGTACCTGGTGGGTCACTAGAGCAAAACCATTCATCACTTCCATCAGTACAGTCTTGCTGGTCATCACAGACGTCACTGCGGGCTAGACAGTTGCCGAAGTTATGACACTGGAAGTAATTGCCAGGACAGTCTATGCATATAAGACAAATAAAACATATAAATTAGACAAATACCATCGAGTCTCCTTCACATATGACGTGGTTTAATACAGGATTTTTATATTCTACATGTGAATGAATGGCAAGTGGGGTTGTGAAAAAGTATCTGCACAGACCAAAGCATGTACAGTACTAACTTACTTAGATAGTTTGTCAGTGTATCTTGCCCTGGCAGTTTATTGCAGCAAAGGGGAACAGTATTTTAAAAGTGCAAGCTATTATGCCGACCATTAAATGTTTTACCTGAATTTAACCAAATAGATCAGGGAAGAAAAAAAGCATCCAGCTGAAGAGCTGGCTACTCTTTATCATTCTCTGTGGCATCTTATAAACTGGACATGTTCATAACTAAACAAATTATGCATTCATTGTTATACTAATTTTACACAATACAATTTCAGCACGTCATTTTAAAATGCAGATGTGTATTTATCTTTTTGTAAAAATCTACAAACTGTATTCACACATCAAAGTAAACAAATTAGGTTAATTGCTACTGAATGTCGTTTTGCATTCAAGCTGATATATGGAAAATAATTGAGACTTATTACGTATATAAAAAAAAAGTGGATCTAAACCTAACAAAACTTATGTTGACTTGATAAGTGACTGTAATCTAAATTGAGTTCTACAGATTAAAATGAACATTGTACCTACATGTACATCATTCTCTTGAAGAAAAGAGACTTACATTGACTGTTTTCGGTAATTTCATCGGAGCCGTCACTACACTGAGATGCTCCATCCCCAAGTTGCCAGAAATTAACACATTCTCCACTGGCACACTCAAACTGAAAGCTTTGGCATGCTGAAGAAAAGAAATATACAAGAATATAGTTCCATGCTGTAAGGGACACACCAGAAAATTTGGAAGAAAGTGAAATGTCTCAAATCTTTACTTTGTGCCAGTCTTCAGTTTCACACACAATTTGAATACATGTGTGCGATACTTACATGTATAGCCTACTCTATCATTCAAATGTACTTTTTAAAAATACATGCCACTTGTCAAGACTGAATACTCCCATTAAACTGAAACTTTTTTATGGATTTCAAACAAATAGTTGTCCTTAACCTCCATGGTCTTCATGGTCATGTGTGATTGAAAACACATCATAGAATAGCGCCCATTTGGTACTAAACACACAAACACACACCACTATACAGATATACACACAAATATGTAAACACAGTATATATAATAATATATAGTATATATTAAAACAGTTGAAAGAAAGATCCTTGAGAGTTTCAATTCACTATTACCAGTTTCAATTTATTTTTTTCTGACGAAATAAATTGTAATTGGTAATAATAGCGTATACACACTGCTGCCAATTTTTTACCTTTTTTCGTACTATGTCCCATTTGCAGGCCAAAACAAATCAAAAGGTTAAATAAAACGGCATTTGAAAGATAATACTAATTTAGAACTTCCCTAAAGAAAGTGGGGCTTGAAAAAGTCTTCAAGTGGGAAAATAACGACTATTCGTTGTCAAATCAACTTAGGAGCTATGGAGCCAATACGTAATAGTCTTGATTTTCAGACCATTGTACCGAGTGGTCATACGTTTTACATGCATGCCAACATTTGAAAATCAGAAATCTGTACAAATTATGCTATTTAAAAAAAAAAAGAGGAACAATCCTAACTCTCCTATTCAATACTACAGACAAATTTGTACAGGAAGAGGAACACCTGCATTAAAAAGATAATTATCTTCTCCCCCCCAAAAAATGTTCCTCTTTAATCTGAACAGTTGGCATGTCTGGTTTTATGCTGCGCAAGATTCAATCAGTTTAATTTTGGCCATCACAAGAAGTGGGTTATTGATGTAGACAAATGCTCATGTACCCTTTACAGCTCATTTTATGTATGTTATTACCAGAGAAGTAAAAAAGCCAGTCAGTCACTCAATAGTGTCTGACAGTGAAGTCTAGAAAGTAAACAGGTTTCCTTGCATAATTTGAATACGAGGACACTGCTAACGTTTTAATTTCAAAGATAGGACATACATGACATATTCAAAATTCCTGCAAAGTTCTACAGAATTTGAGGTTGGCTGGAAAAGGGATATAGTACCTTTAAAGTGATTGTGAGAATATGATTTATTCTTGATAAAGACTACATCTTCTCAGAACTTTATTAATGAATCTAAAGAGATTAAGAGATTGATCAATAAAGTTCTGAGAAGATATGATACTTCATCTATCAAGAATGAACCATATTGTCACAATTATTTCATGAACAGTGGTTATAAAAAAAAATTCTTCAACTTCATGGATAACAGTGTATTAATATATTGTATATACTATATATATATATATATATACACCATTATATAGTCAACTGTTTCTTTTATTTTGTGTCAAGTCTGTTTTCAAATCTTTCATCGCAGAACAGCATCTTCTATTTTTATTTGTAACCTTATTGACTCTGCTGCCGATCTTGCATAATGAACAAGATGCTGCTCGAATGATCATGCATACTGATATAATTGCGTGTGTCCCTATATTATCTGCGATAATGCTTTTGCGTAGTGGGCACAAGAACAGGTTTCAATCCCAATTAATCCTTCATTTCAAAATGATTTATCCTTCTATACATAATCTTTGAAAGGTGAGTTTCACTTACAACAGTTCTTTTCATCACTTCCATCAGCACAGTCTACGAAGCTATCGCAAACGCTGTTTTTGTAAATGCATTTCTCACCACAATCATACTGATGGGCTGCACATTCTGAAATAAGAAGATAATTGTTTCATGTTAAATAATGTTGGTATAATCTAAATTGCTCCAAAAATTATTTAATGTGAAAGCTTGATATACTTTCTGTTTGACAGCTAATCACAATAAACCCGATACACACCCTTTTTCTTTAAAATAACCCCATTGAAGAAAAAAAAAGGAATAAAAATAGCTGAAATCTAAATCATTCTCACTTCTCTGATTCATGACCTTTAAATGAAATCAAAATTAACCCCCTTCAAAAAAAAAAAAAGAAAAAAAAAGAAAAAAAAGAAATCAAAATTGAGTAGAGTCGAAATCCAAATCATAATCACTTTCCTGAGTTATCATTTTTTTTAAACCTAAGAGTGTATATCGAGAATCGATTAAATTGATTAAGCTCCATTAAATGACTAAGACCCCGTTCTCACTCACTTCGTTGGAGCGCTCTGGAGCGCTCTAACTAAGACCCGCTCCTCAGGAGCGGTTCTTAGGTGAGTGAGAACGCTCAAAGTGGTCCAGGAAGCGGACTTCTGGACCGCTCCAGAAGTCCACCTTCCGAGGTGGTCTTGAGGAGCGGGTCTTGAGGAGCGGCTCTAACGTGCAATGTGAACGGAAAGCAGACTTTGAACGGAAGTGAGCTAGTGACCTTCGGTGCGAAACATGTAGTACAGTACATAGGGTTTGTATTCCGCGCGCGAAAAAATTGACCCACCTACCTGAGCTGCCATAGCAACAAGACCACTTTGACTCGTGGAGCGGTTTGAGCCATAAAAACTGCTCGGAGTGTGAACGCTCGCAAACCGTTCCTCAAGACCCGTTCCTCTGGAGCAGTCTGGAGCGGTCTAACTAAGACCACTTTCAAAGTGAGTGAGAACGGGGTCTAAACCACTTATGAAAAAACTTCTGTTGACGTTACTATCTCTTATGAGCAGCTATGATGTTAACTAATTTATAATTACCACAGTCTTGTCGCTCATCTGTAAAATCTCCACAGTCATTGAATCCGTCACACACAAATCCTTGGTGAATGAACCGCCCATTGTTGCAAGCAAATGCTGCATTTGAGAAAGATTAACAATATCAATCAAGGCCTTGTCAGATATGATGGCGCAAACCGCAGAGTTTTTTTTATATGACACAAAGTATCATATGTATCACAACACAGAGCTTAGTGAATACATGCAGGACCTTTAATGTACCGGTATGCAGTTACCATTCATTAATAATACACATTAAAAATATAGCGGCTGTTTACTGCCTCATGTCTGAACGACCCTTAAGGCAGAAAGAAAACCTGCAATTGAATGCATTCCACTCTATATAAAAAGAGAAGGAAGTAGAGAGAGAGAGAGAACAGGAGCGGTGTATGCACATGTACTGCTCCCGTTGTTCTGTGCTGTAAAATGTTCCAAGGTAATGTGTCTGGTAACTTACTTATAAAATATTTCTGCATTGTCTTAAAAATGCGAAAGATTATTATTCCTAATTTTTGTCATAATCCCTTGAGAAAGGATTGCCGTAGCTGGTATTTGTAAAAAAATTGTGTGCTAAATAAAAGCATGAAAAACATGAAACTTCTCTTTGATAATTTTTGTGTTATCATCCATATAATAATAATAATAATAGCTAGTTCTTATATAGCACTTTTCAGGAATTTGAGAAAGGCAACAACATAAACAAACAATCAAACAAATCACAAGATTGTTTGAACAAGAAACCAAAGACCGATAACCATTGAAATTTGTGGAGATAGATGGGTAATGGAATACTATCATGGTATTTAGAGTACAGATAATATCTGATATCTCTTGATTTGTGGATCTAAGATATAACATTCTTTAAAGAAGTATTCCTGTCAGGTATTAAGCTTAGCCCATTAGAGAGACAAACATTTCAGATGCCTAAAAACACTTTTGATTTTGAGAAATGATGCTAAGAAGTATTTTGAATGATTTTCTATATTTTGCTGGCAGAGAGCGAGTATGTACGGCCTAAGATGTCTGGGCTGTACAAAACTGCATTAGCGGCTCGAGCAGCACAATGTGAGGATGCTACGTCACACAGTCACATGGTCAATCTGGATTTTGTGCTGCAAATTTAATAATTTCCATTAAGAATATCCAACACACAAAAAAAAACTATTTTGAAGCAACCGTTGAAAGTTATGGCGTGATCGATTCATGTTTTGTTTTACTTATTGATTATTGATAAGCTGCTGAAAAACTCTTATTCTCGACAGGAATTAGCCTTTAATATTGCAAACTAGAGTATATATTATTCCATTCTTATATATTTGTATAATGTTGAAAACATAGGCAACTCACTGCAGTCTGTTTCACAGGAATGGTAACTGGTGCAGAAGTTATTGCGGTTGACACATGCTCTATATGGACCACATCGCACTTCCCAAAGACTAGGACATTCTGTATGAGACATATAAACAATCATCAAGTCAATGGAAATCATATAGTATTGTTAACATTCATTAAACACAATGGCACAATAGCAAACACTGTCAAGAAATCCGCTTTAAGGCAATTTCGATAACCTTCTGCATGACATTTTTTATAAAAATCATATTTGAATTTCATAATGTGGAATTGTAAAGGTCACAAATTTAAAACATGATACGCAATTGTCAGAGGGTGATTTTTTTTTAAAAGAGTAAATAAAGTATAAGTACTTCATTTACTCCAAAGTTCATTCTTAATAGGTGTTTACAGGGGAAATAATATTTATGGAGAGTAGAAAATCCTTTGTTGAATATATTCCTTCTTGTGTTTTTGTTCTTGGATACATCGAATTTACATCTTTTTCGTATTAATACGTGAAATTAAGAAATACATTGACAACGTAATTGATTTTGCATTTGGGAAGCAATCCACTTTGTCTCACGTTGAAGATATGGCATGTACATACCTCTTGTATTAGACCATCATTTGAAACAAAGAATAGGCCAAATATATGGTCCAAAATTGTCATATGACAGAGACCCATATTGCCACGATGTGCAATTAATTATTAAAGGACCCGGGACTTCAAGCTACCTCTGGAAGATTTTTATCACCACGACTCAAGTACAAACTTACATTACCAATTATACTAGAGTATAGTTAAACTGACTTGAACATTTGTTTTGAAATTCATGATTTTGTTTATAATATGCCCCAATTTTATTTTTTAGAATCACTTGGTATCAATTTTCACAAAAACTGATCGGAAGTAAATAGCAACAAGGGTTTAATATTTTGTACAACCTCTGCCTGTTTTTGCTTTGTTGCAACATATCATCAGACATCATTTAAAATAAGGAAACAAAGTATTTAGATCTTAAAATTGGCAACGTTGGAAGTCACTACTATACAAAATTATATTCTACAAATGTACAGAATAGTTTCTGATTATGTATTCTATTTCAAGATACAACACTAAAAATAAACTAGATGGAACTTGAACTGCGCGCAGTCGAAAATGATGCCTCCGCCATAGAGCAATTTTACAAACCAAAATGGAAGCAATTTTAAAAATTCAAGCTTGATTGTAATCCATCTGTTGGTTCTAATAATAATGCGTTCACAAGCTATTTATAGGAATACATAAAATCCTAAAATCTAATCAGTTCATTGGTTTTGCAAGATATACATATACTTGCCTTGAGTTTGATGGTAATCTGTCTATTGGTTCTCATGATAATGCGATCACAAGCTTTTTTTTAAATACATAATGAGCCCGAAGACTTTTGATCTTTGACCTCATGACCCTAAAATCTACTCAATTCATTAGCTCGGCAAGATACATACATGACCCAAGTTTGGCGGTAATCCATCAATCGGTTCTTGAGATAACATGATGCCAAGCTATTTTTGCATGACCTGTGACCTCATGACCACAAAATCTATGGACGTACAGACAACCAAAAAACATAAAAACTAAATGTTGCAGTTTGGAAGAAAAGAGGCTGACCAGTGTAGCATTTTCAAAAACTCCGTCCAAAAAGTGTTGAAATGTTGATGATTGAGCATACATACCACACTCTTCATCAGTCCCATGTATGCAGTCATTCACTCCATCACAGAACATGGTGGAGTCAAAACATTCAAAGAAGATGTCTCCACAAGTTGTTTCACCAGCAGGACATTGAACTGTAGAGTATATTAACACATACAAATGAAAAGTGAATCTTCTCTCAATATCTTTTAATCCATTATATATATTGTATATGTGTCTACTTATATAACAATTAATTATGTTAATGTTGTATAGATTTGTTATGTGTACTCTGATATCATGAGACCAATCTAATGTATAATTTGGTGTAAATAAATAAAACATTTGAAAAATGTATGCTTATGTATACAATATCAAGTCCATAATACAATGTACTAGGTCCAGTGAAATTTCTATGAATCTTAGTTTATTATCTCTTGATATCTTCTTCGGGAGCAAAATTTATATCCCTCTCTCTCTCTCTCTCTGCCATTGGCTCTTTACACTTCTCTAAAGATTGCGACTTTTGTCTTGACAACCTGCGCGTATCATTTGTGCATATAAAAACAAAATCACTTGTATTTTGCAGTATCAAAACTTGTAAAAGCCCTATTAGCGAAATATCATTTACTTTAACAAACATGTCAATTGAATTCCTTTTTCTGTTGTGACAATTTTAAATTCTTCATCTCTGCTGCAAGCATTTTTTGTCAGTTGTAACTGGTAAATAGGGTGCTTTATAAGAAAAATACACATAAAATTGTTTAATATGAAAATGGGAGAATACATTCACAACGCACACACACATGTTTACATATAAACACACACACATATATATATACATTTATATTTATGATTTATAAATGTTATACATTTATACATGGTAATCATTGGCCCACATATTAATCAGTATTCATATTTTCAATCTAATAGATTTATTCTGATGTACTTCAATTCAGATTTATTCTGATGTACTTCAATTCAGTTTAAAAGCTTAATTTTCAATGTGTTTAGTGGTAAATTATTCTTATTTTTAAATATGCTTGAAGACATTTAAATTAAACTAAAGAAACCATAACCAAACGAGAATCATTATTATGTATGACTGTTATTTTGTCATCACCAAAATTTTTCCATGTTTTGTATCATATTTCTGTTCTTTGTAAACCTTGTCTGATCCTTTATTTTACATGTGAACAAACCACATATCCATGTTGAATGACATTGGACAAATAAATACATTGAATGAAAGAATGAATATATAAATATTGGTTATATACTTCCCTAAAACACAATTGCAAACAAATTAACCTCAGGCAAATTTCAATAGCCTCATCCATTACCTTTGGAAATGTGAAAAAATTACAGTGACATACAATCAGGGCTCAAATTAATTTTTTTCCCACAGGGGCTCTTTCCAAAAAAAAAGAGCCCCCGTGAGCCTACTCACGGGGGCTCTTTTAGTGCTGACGGGGGCTCTTTAATACAAATTTCCATTGAATTGGTACCCATGAAACTCCTAAATTCCTTGGTATTTTATCATTATCATTAAAGTCGGCATTTTCCCTCTTAGAAATTTACTTGTTACATAGCTGTTATTGACTTTTATCCCCGTGATGACATTCTCTCCATTTCTTCCCGTTCTGCACATATACTTCCTCCTCATTATTCGGAGCAACCTTATTTACATTCTTTTTTACTTTTAGTCTTTCACATATCCTTCCAAAACACAGGGGCGGAACTAGCTTTTTGCTAAGGGTGGGGGGGGGGGGGTAACCCAAATACGATGTGGAGCATCGTCCACGAGCCGCATAGCGGCGAGGCGATTTTTGTTGTTGCTATTTTGAACCCTCGTGAGTGATGTTTTCCTGGCATCTACTGACATCTACTAATACTGTGTAGGTCTGGACACATGATAGCATTTTTCTATGCACATCACATTTTCACTTGGCAGCCCAAGGGGGAGAGCGGGGTAAATTAAACCCCCTAAACTGCATAGATCGGATTAGATCCGCCCCTGCAACATCTTTGGTCTTCTTCTTCTTCTCAATATTGATTTACTGGCCGAGTTACATCATTTGCTGGTCTTTTAGAATCACCAGATTTCAGAGGATTCACACTTTTCACAACGAAAAACTTCTCCCGTTTCAATCCTTGCGCAATAGTCTCCAGCTCCAGCAGATATTGGGCGTCAGCGTGCACACCGGTAATACCGGCGCAGTATAGCCACTGCTAACGGCCGTACTACTAGCTGCACTGCGAGCTTCCGTTGTTTGTATCGGTAATACTCATATAGATGGGAGAGAAAGCGCCATCTAAGTTCCATTTCATTGGTTTAACGTTTGAAAATTGATACTCAATATTGTGTTAAAGTTATATCAGAAAACATAATCTTTATTTTATAATTCCACGGGGGCGATTTTTAATTTTGCAATCGCCCCAGTGAGCAACCTGAGGGGGGCGATTATGGAGCTCACGGGGGCGAATCGCCCATCGCCCCCGTGTATTTTGAGCGCTGCATACAATGCCACATTACATAATCCAAATTTGAATCCTATAGGGAATAAGAAACAGCATTCAATTTACTCTTGGGTTCATTTTTGATAGTATTTGTGATCATGTTAAAATCACATTATAACAAAAATAAGAAATAAGAAGACTAAACGAGAAGAGAGATATGGAGAGGGAATAATAAAGGGATGAAAATATATTTACTTTCTGTTTCTTGGACAGCGGTAACTTCAAATGCAAAGGAAGATGTGTGAAAAAAACTCCCTTGAGTTCTGAAGTATGCGATCCAAAACTCAGATCCCGGTGGTATGATAGGTAGCAGACTGTTTCCTTCAATTCCCTTGTAAACATCATATGATAGCTAGAAATAAACATGAGAAAATACTCAGACATTTCGTCCTTACTGAATGTACCACAGACATATTTGTCTTGAGTTTGATGGTAATCCGTCCATCGGTTCTAATGATGATTCACAAGCTTGTTTTGCATACATAATGAGCCCCATGACCTTTGACCTCATGACCCAGAAATCTAATCAGTTCATTGGCTCTACAAGATACATATATGACCCAAGTTTGGCGAGAATCCATCAACCGGTTCTTGAGATAACGTGATCACGAGAACGGGACATACGAACGGACACCCCAAAAACATAATGCCATCTTTGTTGAGGAGGCATCAAATACATAAAGGGGAAATTCCATGAATTATGAGACACGACAAACAATTCTAAAATCTGTATTTCTTCCATCTTCCATGCCCAAAATGGTTGAAATTGGGATATGTCTAGATAGAATAACGGAATCATTTTCTACCATTAATTGTATTCTTGCATGTCCCTTTTATGGAGAATCTAAAACTGCACATACATGTATGGATCAACATAAGCAGGACTATACACACACACAAAATTGCTTATAAACTCTCAGTTGCAGCATACATTTACATTGTATTTTGGATGGAAATGCAACAAGTCAGTGATAAAGGGCAAACCAACTCTTATAATAATTTCATTTGTACGGAAGTGGAAAAAGAATGGTGAAAGTTTAAATTAAATTAGATCAAGAATATAAGAAAGTTAAGGGAGTTTGAAATATGATATCATTGAATCCATATGAATAGCAAATTGGCAATTTGGTGGCTGGATATTGTGACATATTCACGGACAACTCTCACATTTGTTGTGTACAAAAATATATGTTTTTCTCCCAAATGCCTATTGTGAGTATGGGTATAGCATGTTATTAAATGTTATCTAAAAAGAAAAAGACCATCCTGAGTCATAATTATTATTATTGAGTCATAATTAACTAAAATGTCAATTTTAGTAATTCTGTGTGTTGGAACAAATAGGGAAGTTGTCTGGCACTTCGTCACAACGACATTGCCAATTCAGCCAATTTAAAGTGCCCACATGTATAGTGTTTATAACTTTTAAAAAGTACATAGCCTAGGCTTCTCATTTTTTGTCTGATTTCGTTCAAACTTTCACCGGACTGCTTCTCTGATTTTTCTGCTTTCTTTTAGAGTAGTTTATTCTTAGGGATGGAAGTGCATCTGAATTCTATTTGAAGGATTGTTGCACATGAGAAAAAACTAATTTATACATACAGTACCTCATACAAAATCGTTGAAGCATTGTGTATGTCAAAACCAGTTCCTAGCGTAAAATGGTCCACACTTTCCATCTGCAGATGGATGATATCCAAACGTAGCCTTGTCCCATCCACTGCACTGAATGTCCATGTCTTTATCAATGGTCTGGTGATAGGTAAGTAAACTGGATATCCAAGGGACTGGATGGTAACATTTTCGCCAAGACTCAGATTAAAGCTTGCGATGGGAGCTGTAATATGATAGGCATTACATGAATACAGAATCATCCGATCTATACACCCTGTCATTATTATTCTATTATCTATTTTGAAGAGTATAGTAGATGAATATGTTCAATGACATCTTCTTTACTGTCTGAATTATGTACAGGTGTGGAGAGCCACTTTTTGGGGAATCATATTAGGGATAATTCATTTGGAGTGAAAAACCAAACTCAGAACTGTAGAATCCATCCTTAAAAGTGCCATTCAACCATTACTTTTGGAGTGGATTTCACCATAATTTGGAGTCGATTCTACTCAAAGGAAGTGATCTCTAATATGACTCCTAAAAAGTGGATTTGCATTAAAAGAGTATTTACATTTCCTGTGACACGATCCTAGTTCCTGTTTCGAATTAGTTTCAAAATTAAAACATTCTTTAGTCTTTATCATAATTTTCATAGGAAAACCAAAGTGACATGGAAAAATCAACAAATCTTACGGCAATCAAGCTCATCACGTAAGTCAGTACAGTCCACAGTACCATCACATCTGTTTCCAGGCGGAGCGATCTTATCTCCAGCATCACATGTTATGATATCTAAAGAAAGAATAAAACATAACAAAGTTACATTGCATGCATTGTCAAGAAAACATTTACATTTATTTCCTTCTGGCAAAGTACAGTAATGTGTAAAAGAAAGATCACTCCATCAAACAATGCTATTAAAGCAGAAGGAGGGAAATACCATAAAAAACTTGTGTTGAGAATGTCATGAACAAATAAAAAACAAGTTTACTGCAAAAAGTATGACAAAAAAAAAAAGGATAGTCAGATAAAGAAAAAAAAAAGGATAGTCAGATAAAGAAAAAAAAAGATAGTCAGATAAAGAAAAAAAAGGATATTCAGATAAAGAAAAAAAAGGATAGTCAGATAAAGAAAAAAAAGGATAGTCAGATAAAGAAAAAAAAGGATAGTCAGATAAAGAAAAAAAAGGATAGTCAGATAAAGAAAAAAAAGGATAGTCAGATAAAGAAAAGAAGGCACGAGAAGAGCAAACAAACTAGAAATTTAATTCGTCATGGGGACGAATTAGGTGGTCTGTCTTCAAGTCTTATGAGAGATTATAATATTTACTATATTGAGAAAGGGAGAAGTTATATGGACATGTAAACAATGATGATCATCATGATGATCATGATGATGATGATCTTGATAGTAATGGTGATGACGACGATGATGATGATCGTGATCATGATGATGTTGATGATTATCATCAACAGACCACGATGACATCAGACTGAACAAAATTAGAGAACATTAAGATAGGGTATAGTCTCAGCTACAACATACTCAAAAATCAACAAAAACCAAGCCGAAATAACGGCGATATTGCTCGCAAAAGACAAGAATGTAGAATCCAGATTTGAGAAAAAGTCATCTCCCATAAGGATTACACGCCAAAAGTAATGGATCAAGTGATAATAGGGTAATAATCAAGTAAATATGGTTGTTTATTATATTATTTGCGATTGTACGTGTTTTAATATTCAAAGGAGATGGTAGAGTGAAAGGTCAAAAAGAAAAAAAAGTGAAGAAAAAAAATTGTTGGAGACGCCCGGACTAGAACCAGGGTCCTCGACGTCGGAAGTCAAGTGCGTTACCGATATACCAAAACATTTCCCTTAGAGATTACACGTAAACGGAAAATGGAATTATCAAATCCCACTTTGCAAGTGAGATATGAGCATGATCCCGGCATCTGATCGAAAAATAAAAGGCACACTTGTGATAGCTTATTGTCTCAGCTACAACATACTCAAAGCTTAGCGAAAACAAAGCTAAAACGACGGAGATATTGCTCGCAAAAGACAGGATGTAGAATCCAGTTTTGAGAAAAAGACATGTCCCATAGAGAATACACGCAAAATGTGAAAAATTGACATGCCTCCTTTAATCGCAAAAATACGCCATGATACCATAGTCAAAATGAAATATCGTGGTGACTGCATCTGTAGAAAATATTCTCAGGTAGAACATATCAAAATTTGAAAGAAAATTGATCAATATTTACAGAGATACAATCAATTTTCCAAAAATCTGCTGACATCATAATATGAAAATTAAAATTTTGAGTTTGGAGGCCATTATGATGACGTCATAAGGTAATTGAGGGTCAAATGAGACATGAAATCATATCTCCAACTCATGCTTTTTCCAACCATGATATAAAAGTTGGGGTCAATTGATTATCTGAAGAGCTATTTTGATTTTCAAAATGGGATGTTTTTGATCAAATTTGCATTATATTGCCCATAGCAGCACGCGCAGATTTTGAACTTTGACGCGCGCTCACGGCCTTATAAAAGATCAAGAGTGAGTGAAATTAATGTAAATTGTCATTTACGGTAAGAGGAATCTAGATCATGTAAAAAATTTGAATTTGATCTTTTCCGCACGTTGTGAGCGCGCGCAACGCGCGTGGGGACACGTACGGATGGAAAATTTTGAAATGCTTAAAATGACCTGATTCGTACTCTCGTTTAATAGTTAAGTGATTTTGAGCATTTTAAAATTTTGACGCGCGCGTACGTGCGCGTCATGACCTTTATGTGACCTTTGATGACATGACTTGTTGACCCTTGACCTGAAATATATGTGATATGAATATGAATGACCTTTGCTTATGCATCATGAAGATATGATGGATAACGTGATTTCACAAAATGGCGCCTGGATGACGTCACGATGACCTGATGACCTTGAAAAGGTTACTGTCACGTCTCATGACAATGACCTATTAATGAGATAAAATTGAATGAAATTGACCCAACAGAACTTGAGTTATCCTAGGCACAAAAAAGTGTAGGAAATAAAAACAAATAATAATAATGAAGAAAGAAAATTCTGACGAAAACAATAGGTGATCTGTCATTGACAGACCACCTAACAAGGACAAAGCAGATTGGAAATTAGGAGAAGGGATGCCATTAAATCACCAGTTGATGTTACAAAATAACTGAAATAAGAAGACCAATAACCGATGAGAAAATAACAATTAAATTTGTTCCCCGTGGTCCCAGCTCGTTGAGAATTTCAGTGTTCAACCTCAATGACTATAACTCAACAGTTAATTTAAAGCATTTAACCTTACTGTGGCTATGCCAAAATATTAAGCATTTGCACTATCATGGACCAACTACTCATTAGGTGCTTTCAAGTACATGCATAAAGCAAAGGAAGCCCTTCCAATCTTTTTCTAAAAAAAGCATTTCCCGAACAGTTTTGTCCGCAAGTGATTTTATGAGCTGCACCCAAAAAGTGCTTGTCTTTAGGTCTATAGATCAGGTGCAGTTAAAAACAAAATTAGACACCGTGTAGAAAAGGGATAAATACCTTCCAGCGGGAGTGCAAGTATTTCGAGACCAAAACCTCCGCCATACAGGCTCTTGAATTCCACCGACAGTTCTCCCTCTGGGAATACTTTATCTGCAATATCGCTCCAAGTAAAGGTTGTATCATCTGCAAATGACCACGTGGTCTCTCTCCGGCTTGTAGTTGCACCAATGTTACGTATGATAAGTGAGTCACCAAAATAGAGTTTAATATATTCAACTTGGACTATCAGAGCATTTGCACTGTCTGCTGATGAAACGATCCAGCTTGAATAGATGTAGTCATTTCCATAGTTCACGTTAGAAGGATAAGTGTAGGAGGCAAGGAAAACCGTTTCGTCTGTTGCCAGGATGACAGCTAATGAAAATGTCAAGAAAGATAAAGTGAAGAATATCTTGCCTATTTATCCACTGCATTGTTATTCTCCTATTCTCAGTTACACATTTTGTATGTCCTGAATCATCATTTTATGAAGGCTTAAAAACAAAGGGGATCAAACTCGAGCGAAAGTTCTCGGGACAATCTATTTTATCACTGTTAGAATAAACATGTGCTATTAAAATTAGGTTTAATATTGAATGCGTTTTTAAAAAAATGGTAACACGAATTGTGTCAAAATATGAACTGAAGCAGAAGATATATGTAAAACGTAAATGAAATGATGAGAAGTACCATTTTCTGCTCTATATTTTTTTTAATGCAGAGGAGAGGAAATCCACTATCAAAGGAGTGTATCAGATCACTTTAAAATACTTTGCACTTGAATCGACTCCAAAGTAGTGGTTGTATGACCCTTTTGAGGGAGGATTCCACTGTTTTGAGCGTTGTTTATCTAAGCCAAACAGAGTTATCTCTAATGTAACTCCTTCTAAAACAGATTTCGAATCGTGTACAATAAAATACTTACAACAATTTGTCTCGTCTGTACCATCAATACAATCAACCTTCCCATCACATACTTTGTTAATGCTAACGAGACCTTTGCCACTGCCAGCATTGCATATAAATTTCCCTACAAAGGACAAGATAGAAGAACAAAGTGAGTTAATATGAATGGCACGCTCCAGTTGATCATATACAACACCAAAAGGTGATCAACACAATCCCACGAACAGGAGGAAATATATCTCTCACTATATCTCTCACTTTATAATGTGACAAGTTGATTTAAACCAAAGATTAGGCAGGATCGATATACTCGAACATTTAAAACTTTGATTTCAACAGATCATGCGACTTCAACATATATTTGAACTAAGAACAAAATATGATTTCAAGAGAGGGAGGGGGTCATAAATTATAGAGACGAGCCACCAGCAACCAAAGCAATCAAGAAGAAAGTTATGAATTTCTTTTAAAGTGTGAAAAACTATGGAACTTAGAAAATCACTACACATATTGCCAATTTGGTTATCAGTTTGTGACCTCATTGCCTCACGATTTATCAATTGCTTTATATATTTTTATCCCATTAATTTCCCTTTTTATCCCCCAAAACTTGATTTTCCCATGGCTTTGACCAGGTAATATGATTTGTATCAGATTTCGTACATGACATTTGACAAAATCTTTTATGAACTTTGTAAAATTGATACTAATTTCTGAATATTGTATATTCATAATCATTGAATTTTTATATAAATAGTTTATCAAAATTTAAATTTTTCCTGATCACTCTATTTTGGTTCATCAACACAAAAACTTATTATTATCATTATAACTTGGACACTGGTGTGAGGAAATAAGTTTAGGGGGGAAATTGGAAGTTTATATTATCATTATAAAGAAAACAATGAGTGAATAGTGAGGCAATGATGTCACAGACTCATGAGTGAGTTGCCAATTTGTCTTGTGATTTTCAAAGTTTTTCACGTCATTAAATATTCATAACTTTCTTATTAGTTATCCGATTTTGCTCAATTTTTTATTGGTTTGTATGATTTTTCTGCTTCTATTGAAAGAAAGTTATTTTTGGAGTGTACTCGCCCTTTAACAAAGAAATTTAGAGTGCTTTCAAAGTTTTCCTTTTGTTAAACATGATTTTAGACGTAAGGTCGGGTTTAATTGAATTAGTAGAATATGAATGAGTCAAGTCAGCAGTCAGCAATCTACGAGTAGATATATATGCATTTCCAATATATATTTGATTTAAATTATTAACATACTGGTACTTATAATCCAGCCGTAACGTAACAGGCAGTATTTTTCAAAGTTTACTACCGGTAAATGCATGCAAATGCATCAACCTGAAGAAAAACACAACTTAAACCATTCCATCATATGAACTTGATTATTCATAGCTATAATGGCAAAATATGGTGCTTACACTACAATTTGTCAGAGCTGCCATAAAATTTCCCCCCCAAAAAGATGGCTCTTTCAAAACATTGGTGTGAATTACATGGTTATCTCCAAAGGGGGTAGGGCACATTTTGTTGAACAATTGCACCTTTTGTGGTCAAGAAATTAGCTATGATCTTGAAATTTTGAAGCTGAATTAGTATTGTGCACAGCAGTCTTGCTGCAACCAGCCCTCTTCCTAATATCTTGAAAGAAAACAATGCACATTTATTTGTATCTTAGAATCTTTTCTCAATTTGGCTTAGATGGAATATGAAAGTTTGTTTAAATAGAATTAAAAGTGTTATTTTGTGTAATAACTGTACCATCTCGCAAGTAGAGTCCAATATCGATGCTAAAAGCTCCTGAATCGTAATAGTCATCGGTCACAAATTCAATAAAGAGCTCATCTCCTTCAACGACGGTAAAATATGGGTTGTCCAGGGATGTAAAGCCAGTGAAATTGACTACAGTGAAGCCATCGGCATCATGGCCTTGTCCTATCTTCAAAGTATCATAGCTGTCGAGGTGCAACTCGTCGATGGTCACAACGAAAGAGAAGTTGCCTCCAGCTGATGAATTCGCCTGGAAGAGCCAAAGGATGGAGGTGTTGCCGTAGTAGCTATTTGGATAATTTGGCGAGTACAGATAAAGATGTTCTCCATTGTCCAGCTCATGTACTGTGTGGAACAATATATTTATTTATTCATTTAATGTCCAGGAAAAGTTAAAAAAAGAAAACATACATGGATCCAAGATTTACCCCAAATGAACAAATGTTATCAATTTTAAGCTTTTTTTACAAACACTCATACACCCTCAACCACCCCGCATACAGACAGACAAATATTTGAGTAAAAATTACAAGGACGTAATTTAGGAATAGATTCCAAAACGGGTTATGAAGGGCAAGAACCACTTGATGAATAAAATACTTGTCACACTAAAGGATGAAATTTACATTGTGAACATCAGCAACCCTAAGAGACAGTTCCAATGTGAATATTTCAAGCAATTATTTTGGGGTTGAACACTGAAAACCATACTTTGCGTATTAGATATAGCCATAGAGCTTACATCACAGAAAGGGCAAGCATAGTGATACCTAAAAATGTTTTCAAACTACCTATACTTGCTCTTGTGGAAAGATTAGACTTTAAAAGATGAATGAGGCATGAAATATCAAGACAAAAGGGGCATGCTCTAACACATCATGGAATGCGCTGTATAAATGTAACTTATTGTTATTATGAAGTAATTATATATCGATGCATACCAAGGAAGCACAACGGAAGTATGGTAGTGGTACTGTGAACTTTCTTCTAAAACTTAAAGAGAAACACCCTGGGGTGCAACAGTGCACCTCTGGGTATAATGGGTACCAGTAAGAGTTGAAAGCTGAATGGTTCAATTCTGCACCCTGAGAGACACTGTTATTATAAAAACAAGGGTAGTAATTTAAACCTTTCAACCTTTTCAACATTTTATTATATCAGGTAGTTACATGAATCAAGCCCGATATTCCACATACATATCTTTCTACGTAACGTCCTGTTACAGTCTACAGACATTTATGTTTCAAGTCAAAAGTTATTAAAAGCAAAAAAAACATTAAGAAAACTTGTACAAATTCCATCTCATCTCGATCAACAATCATGTTCCGATATGAACAGTAAAGGGATCCTTTATGTGTTTCTTCCTAATCTCTACATGTATTTGATTATTTTTATAAATAAGATTTCTGATAACATCACATAAATCATCTCTTTTTACTCACTGCATGATGCCTCATCACTACCGTCTCTGCAGTCTAGTATCACATCACATATAGCGGATCCATTGACTGCCCATGGACCTGTCTTGCATTGGAAAGAATCTGTAATTTACAATAAAAGAAGAAAAACGTATAGATTAAGATAGTATGCCTTAAAAGTCCAAATGTGACCAGGTAACAAAAACATATCAAAAAGCGACCAGATCCTAAAACAGGAGATTCTCAGCTTAAAATGATATATAAATCATCCCAATATGATGTTTCTAACCCAGTGAAAACAATGAGGTCTCCATTCTAGTATAAATTGTAACTTGAGAAAACTAAAATCTTTAGTATATTCAAGCATGCTGACCCACAAAGAAATGTGCAAGGTGGCAAAAGGAGGATTATAACTCTCAATCATCAAATTGTCCTAAAACAAAGCATACCAATTACATGCTGTTCTTTATTTTGACCAAGTATCAATGCAAGAGCATTTTAAAGGTAAAGGAAATCAAAATAATACCAGTAGCCATGGTCATATGAAAACAATTACTACAACAACAAAAAAGATCAGACAAACATCGACAAGTCTACAAAAAACTGCTCGAAATACCACTTTTAAATTATATGGTGCTTCCAGATTTTGAATTAATGTAGAAGGTATCGTGGTCGAGTAGATAAGTCGCCGGACTGTCGATCACAAGGTCAGAGGTTTGAGTCCCGCTGCGGCACTAATGTCCTTTGGCAAGACATTGATCTACATTTGCCACACTCAACCCAGGTGATGTAAATGGCTACCTGGCAGGAATTCATTCCTTGAAATGCTGGAGCGTTGTATACGGCCAGTGGCGGATCCAGGGGGGGGGGGGGTGGCTGGGGCCCGGGCCCCCTCCCTTGAGAAAAAAATCATGTAAAAAACAATTTATACATTTTTTTTTGGGCCCCCCCCCCCCCGGCGTTCAAGGGGGGGGGGGGGGGGGGGAGTGAAAATTTTAAAATTTCAAGGACAAAAAAAAAATGTGCTCATTACCCCCCCCCCCACTGAGCGACTTTTCGGCTGGCGCGATTTTCAAATTTTCGGGAGCAAAAAAAAAAAAGTTGGGCTCCCTCCCCAAAGAAATCCTGTATACCGCAGCTAGGCGCAAGCCGGGGTAATAATAAATGCACCTCGGAATAGAATTTCTAGATAGACGGTGCTATAGAATTGCATATTATTATTATTATTATTAAGGTATACTCACAACATACCAAATTTGACCATTCCGACCTATTGCACCTCTATGAACCTCTAATTGAAAATCACACCATGCAACTATTGGTTGGTTTTGTGGTGCATGGTAACTAACACATTTTCATTTGTCCATGAAAAAATATGTGACAGACTTATTGCAGTACGTTTTCAACAGACTTAAAAAAAAAGAATTACAATGAATTTCGAAGAGAATTCAAAGAGCTGGGGCCCCCAAATTATCTTGAAGGTGTTTACCAATGGTTGAGTTGTTTATTAATGTCCCTTTACTGTTATTTCTTGTGTGCCCTCAGCGATGCTACATTTGCAATAACATTTGTCATGATGGTAAAAGCAAACAAATTATTCTGGAGGCAATTTATGTTCCTCTATTCTAATTTTGCAATACTGGGTTAAAGTGAGCCGCATTTATATGTTCTGCATGTAAGCAAGATTGGTTTTTGAAATCAGTCATAACGAATATACATAATGTATCAATTATAATTATACATCAACTAGTTTTTTATGAATTCATTTTTATTTTGTTGAAACTTCTTCAATTTTGTATGGAATCTTGTGTGTAACAAAGACAGTATAAACATTTGCAACATGTAAATGACTAAAGGTTAAAATTTGGCATGTATTTTTGAGAAATAGAATGCTAATATGGTATATATTAACTGTAACTAGCGGGCTTGTTACTTTGTGAAAATAAGCAAATTTATAAAAAAAAAGATTTAACAGAAGGTCAACTAACTAATTTTAGAAGAAAAAAAATTACACTTTTAACTTTACAATGTGCTAATTTGAATTCATAAAACTGAAAGGGCATTGTAAATAAAAAGTATTAAATTTGTATATAGAATTTTTCATGTTTACCTGTGAGATAACCCAAAGATATCTCCATTTGGAAGGAGTAGTAGTTGTAGTATGAACTTGATGTAAATTCAATGAACATCTCTGATGCAGCTAGAATGCGCTCCCCCCTTGGAAATTGCTGGCTTCCACTGAAGACCTCAGCATCATTGTTGGGTACCAGACCGGCTCCAATCCGTAGGACATTACCATAAGAAACATATCCATAGTTGAGAGTGATAATGAATGCTACTTCCATGGAGTTAGTAAGAGCAGGAGCGCTTGAGTTGAAGAGCCACAAGGCATGTGTGTACGAGTAACCAGGACTGAGTAGTACTCTTGCGTCTCCAAGATAAAGCGTGTGGACTGAAAGAATAAGAGACATCATTGTTTGATTATGTGGTCAATTTTAGACACAATGTCCTGCTTCTTCAATTGATGGTGGTCACGAATCCTACCCAAGAAATCAACACTTTGCAGAGGCTTACCTGTACAAATTTGACAGCATTTTAATTTCAAATTGACATTTATGTTCTTTCAGTAATACTCATCAAGATATATACACACTGAACAAGCTTGGGTGACAAGGATTCCTGGTAGAAGGAATGGACTCCCACAAAGCCGTTTGTTGTGTGTAAAATTAAGAAATCACTTTCTTTCATTGTCTTTCAAATGTCATCTCAACTGTTATTCTAACAGATCATCATTCTTTTAATACTACATATATGCAAGTCAAACCAAATTGTTTTGGGTGCTGCTATGAATAGCAATGTACTAAATGGTTATTTTTATACTTCTTGTAAAGTTTGAAGTGATTTGAATGAGGCTTACATGAATAATTACAAAAAGAAATATTTTTATTTTTATCATTGCAGAAGATACCCTGACCAGTAAATAATTTTATCTTTGATTAAAATATAGGAATTTGCCTACATTCGGACTTTGTAAGAAACAAACCTGTATGTTGAATTATAACCTTGACAACTAACATTTCGGAGACTATAAACAAAAATTCAAGTGAAATGAACATGAAATGACCACAGCCGGTTTCATCACTGGAGTCCAGACAATCTACACTGAGATCACAATGAGAGGACTGGTCGACTGCATCTAATCCATCATTGCACACAAAGAGACCTTGACACCAGCAATAAATGTGGAAGGGAGTTATGAGGATGATATTTGAAAACAAAGATGACCAAAAATGAGGAAAAAAGTAAAGATAGTTTATTATTGATTTGAATTCATTCCATTTCATATCAATTGGTTGCACAATAAAGATGCATTGTTGACAAATTAAGTACAAACTTATGAAATGAAACAGGAACCTACTAGAAAGCATAGCTTGTTTTTGTAGGTTCCCAAGAATAATATAATACTTCAATACATTATTTTCATAAATCACTTCAAAGTGTCTTAATAATCACAGTAAAATAGATATAATATAATAACATATTTTCATAAACCCTTTTAAAGTGTCCAAACAATTGAAATATACAAAAGAACAGAATTACAAAACGGGACACAAGACAGGAAACTGGCATAAGATAATACAGGACATGACAAAATAATTAATAATAGGACAAGATAAACAAGACATGACAGAACAAAACAGGACAAAACAAAACTGCACACTACAGAAAATTAGAAGAGAGAGGGAGAGAGCGTGTGTGTGAAGCAGGGGAGATGTGAGAGGTATACCCAAATCCTAGAAGTTTACTCCGTAGGAGACATGTATTTTTGTATTAAATCCTTTTTAAACCCTCTACTAAAACTATAATATGTAGGTTTATCTCTAACTGTATCTGAAAGAGAGTTTCAAATTTTTGAGCCTGAACCTGAACTAATGATTTATTTGAGAGCGAAGTTCTTGTTTTAGGTAGATGAAAAAGCCTGGCAGACCGAGTAGGATAATGATGAATACTGACATTCTTTGTAAACATTGAATAAAAAACATTTAGCAGTTCATTTCTATTTAAATTATACATAAATATTCCCAGATTATAACTCTATAAATCTGTTATCTTTAGAATACTATGTGTGTGAAAGAGTTCATCTTTGTGCGCTCAAAAATTAGAATGCCATATAACACGCAGCGCTTTTTTTGAAGTAATTAAATTTCTATTTATTAAAAATGATAGTCAGCACAATTGCCCCACGCTATAATTCCGTAGTTTAAGTGTGGGAGGATCAACATTGAATACAGGTTTAATAATATACGAGTTGAAAAGTAAAATTTGACCTTGTTTATAATGCCAATATTTCTTGAAATAACTTTACAAATATTATCTACGTGTTCCTTCCGGGAAAGCTTTTCATCTATAGTTAGTCTCAGAAATTTAGTATTTAAAACTCTTTGAGTAATAGTACAATCAAAAACAACATTGCCTGGAAGTTCATTTATTATGTTTAACTAAAGAGCATGTAGTTCGTCTTTTGCAGATTGAGAGATAATTTATTGGCTTTGATCCATTCTGAAACACGTTTTAATTCCTGGTTGATGGGGCAAGCAAAAAATGTGGGTCCTTATGGGAAAAGAAAAGATTTGAGTCGTCTGCAAAAAGAATAAAAGATGAAACCTCAAAAGAACTACAGAAATTGTTGATATAAATAAGAAAAAGAAGCGGGCCCAAAATAGAACCTTGTGGGACACCACAACTTGTATCTTTCCTATTAAGCACCCTACAACATTGAAAAATGATGAAGGTGATGATACAACTATTATTTCTTCTAGCAAATTTTTTTTTTACATGGGAGCAGTGATCGATATAGCTCTCGAAACACAATAAAATTCTTTTATATCAATGTGATATAATTTGCACCTATACAACACATAATCCTAAACGTCCTCATGTGAGCAGGAAAGTGCATGTATTTTTCCCACCGACTACTACTACTTATGAAAACAAGTAACTGGAATAGTGAGAAAAAAAGACTTGGAAAGGAATACTCATAGGAATACTCGTAAAACATAATATAACATAATATAACATAAGACAACGTATTATAAATTGATAAACCCTTTTTGTAATGTAGCTGGAAAGGTCATTTTCATTTCGCAAAGTAATCATTTTCTATTCATGTTAATATTTCTCCCTCTCCCATTCTGCCCTACCCTCTCTCTCTCTCTGTTTATCTCCTCGCTCTTCTCATCTTCACCCCTCTCTTCTTCCTTCCCGTTTTCTATTGTCCATTCCTTTTCTATTTCTTCCATTCGTCTTTTGGTATTTACACCTTCTTTCAAGTGAAATGTGATTCCTCTTTTTTTTCTCAGTCCCTCTCTTTCTCTACTTTCCTCTCCATCTTATTTTACTCTCTGTATTTAAGTAATATAATAAGTAAACATTTCAATTGTTTTATTGGTGGTGTTCATAATGTACATTACTTGTTATGCCAGTGAAGGTTAATTGTCTGTATTTATTTTACTTATGGATCAATAAAACTAATCTGAATTGGAATAGGAAACCCAAGCCCCTAAGCATATAAGAAAGACACATGCAACAGTGGACCATATGGATTCATTCACAATTTGCACCATTCCCACTTTCTGGGGAGTTTTCCTACCATAATGGTCACGAGGGCATTTGGCAATTACTAAGACAAATGATTTGTTCATTCTACTAGATCCCAATTTCTCTCCTGGGTATGGAATGGCAAATGTAGACTAATGCCTTGCCAAAGGACATTAGTACCGTGTCTGGGTTCAAGCCCACGACCCTTGAATTTCAAGTAAAGTGCTTAAACCTTTCGACTACGACACCTCTACTATAGGTTACAGATTGTTAAAAGAATTACCTTCAAGGGAACGGGGTGTAATCTCCAGGTGGAAACGTGAAGAACTATAGGAGCTTGTGAGTTCCACGTGCATCTCGGATGACTGAATGAGCCTCCTTGCCCCGTTAGACAGGTGGTCATCATTGGCAAATAGAAATTCTGAATCATTACTGGGGACAAATCCAGAGCCAATACGAAGTACGTTGCCATAACTTACATAAATGTCGCTAATGTACACAAAGAAGGCGATGTTACCGGCATCGCTTTGTGAAGAATTGATATTGAATAACCATGTCCTGATGTAAGGTCTACTGTACGATTCATAATTGTAAAGAAAGTGGGTTTCTCCAACAGTAAGCGAGTATTCTGAAAATAAGTTATGAGAGAAGAAAAAAATCACATCAATATATAACACTTCATCTAAATTTGTTGTTTAAAATTTGATTATATGCTCTTTTTCTCCTTTTTTTGTTGGTTTCATTTATTTCTCATTTCCTCAAAAATGTCCATGTAAAAAAAGTACAGACTTAAATTCACTCATGTTACATAGCCACTTCATGTAATGTCAAAAAGGACAAATTGGAACCTTAAAAAGCTTACAGGCTTTGGGGGTATAAATTCTTTTGAAAAATTACTTTTTATTGTAGTGAATACTTTTTCATCCTCAAATGTAAAGATGCAACTTATCATTAAAAAAAGATGAAATACTTACTGCAGTTGTTTTCATCACTGCCATCATTACAATCATCAATAGAATCGCATCGAGCAGTAGAATTATAAGGAGTTCCATCGGAGCAAACAAAGAGGTCTGTTAAATTTTATAGAAATATAAAGCAAAAAAATATAAATTAATACTATGATTATGAAGGTTACAATAATTATGATGCCTGCATAGCACTACTCTTAACCATGATACTGATAATTTTATAAATGACACACACAAAAAATGCTTAAAACAGGTAACCTCCATCGGTCAGACTATACTATTATATTACTAGGCAAGCAAGTTATACACCACATTTTCATATATATAATTAGATGATTTTTTCATATTCAATGAGCTATGACCTTTCATTAAAATCTGTCAAACATTACTAAAGTTATCGATCAGAAACCTGATTTGTATTTGTTTGCATATTTAATGAGCTATGACCTTTGACCTACATACTCCGAAATCGAACTCAGGCTGTGTTTTGATACCATGTACCTTCATATCAAATTTCATTACAAAATTTGTCAAACATTACTAAAGTTATCAATCTGTAACCAGATTTGTATTTTTTTGTATATTTAATGAGCTATGACCTTTGACCTACATACTCCAAAATCGAACTTAGACTGTGTTTTGATACCATGTACCTACATATCAAATTTTATTAAAATCTGCCAAACATTACTAAAGTTAGTGATCGGAACCCATGTAGATTTGTATTTTTTCGCATATTATTGAGCTATGACCTTTGACCTACATACTCCGAAATCCAACTTAGCCTGTACTTTGATACCATGTACCTTCAAAATTTGATTAAAATCCATCAAACATTATCGATCGGAAACCAAATTTGTTACAGAAGGAAGGACGGAAGGAAGAACGGATGGCGGCGTTACTATATCTCCACCGACTTCGTCGGCAACGGGATAAAAAAAAGCCTGTTCCAATCACACACACAAACAAACTGTGTAGCAAGAAAGTTTAAAATCTACATACAATTTTTTTGCCCAGCATTCTATGGGCCAATGGATAGGAGTATAAAAAAAATACAGACTTAACAGAATACCATGTGCACGTGTGGTTCTTATTCTATACAAGTGTGTATGGACATGTTGAGTAATCTATTCACAAATCAATAATTTGTTGATTTCGATATCTCTTTATTGAAGTTATCTTTGAAACTCATATCTTGATTATAGTATAATGACACTGACATGCCTAACATACAGAATAGAATATTTGTTGTGATTGACACACTGTAATCTCCAGCAACTTTATCTATCCTGCAAATGGCAGATGTAGATAAAAGAATTGCCAAATTATGTTAGTACCGGTATTTAATATTATGCAACGAAACTCCTAGATCCTTGTTATTTGATGTAAAAAGAATTCATTCAAGATTTTTTCGTGACAGTATAATTATGGCTGACAAATAAATCTCAAGTTTAATAAGGCTTAATTTAGTGCGCACACATAGCTATACAGTAGATATAGCAAGCGCACTCACCTCTATACTCATTTACGCATAGTGCTGCGCAAGAATAGGCTCATGCTCACGCAGTATTAAGTGCTCTTACCTCTACGCGCACTACTGCGCTAGGAAAACGAGTTCAATAGTACTGGAAAATATTGCACTCCTTTTCATTAAAACGAGTGCAATAGGCTAAGTAAATGAATCACACGTGACCGTGCATAACCAATCATTTGATTAGTGATCTGGGAGTGATGCTGTGTGTATCTATCGCACTCAGCCTAACGGCTTTGTGCGATAGATACACACAGCTTCAACTCGAGTGCGGATAGATCGTATAATGAACTCATGCGCATGCATCATTTGTATACTGATGGGACTCAAATGCTAATGGCCCAATCAATAGTACAGGTTCAATTTGAGAAAAAAATGTTTTTGCTACTGTTCTTCACAGTAAAGTGTTAAAATCCACTCAGGAGTAATCAATTACTTTAGAGCGAATACTTAATTTTGAAAATGCTTTTGAATTTAATTTTCTGTTCCTTTCTGTACATGTTCTAGAAAGAGGTGTCAATGTGGATACGATTCGATTTGATTCCCGCTGCAGCACTTATCTGTCCTTTGACAAGACTTAATCTACATTTGGCACTCTTCAGCCGGTTGTAGTAAATGGGATCTGGGAGGAATCTATTCCTTGAATACTTGAATGCAGCTAGGCTAAAACCAGGGTATGCACTTTGCAGGTGCCTTAAGCACCTGCTAGGATCAGTATATGCACATCGTAAAAAGTTTTAGGTTTTAGGACGGGACAATTACCTCCTGGGCAATCACCCCCCCCCCCCAGCCAATTTCCAGCGGGCAAGAAATCCCCAAGGACAATTACCCCGGAAAAATACTCCCAGGACAACCACCCCCTGTGGAAAATTACCCCAAGGACAATTACCTCCAGAAAATACTTATTATCAGGGTGGACTTCCCCTTTAATGAACAAGGGGGTAATTTTCGGAAGGGGGGGGGGGGGTAATTATCCTTGGGCTGGTTGTCCTTGGTTGTCCTCAGGTGGAAAAGGTAATTGTTCTAGGGGGTTAGTTTTAGGGGTGAGGATAATTGTCCTCGGGGGGTAATTGTCCATCGGGAGAATGGTAAACGGTTAATTTTCTGGGGGGGGGGGGGGGAGGGGGCAATATTTCTCGAGGGTTGGTTGTCCTCAGGAGGTTATATTTCTGGGGGGTAAATTTCCGGGGGATATTGTACTTGGGGGGGGGGGGGACAGTCTTCCGGGGGAGGGGGGGGGGGGGGTGGGAGGGTAATTGTCCCGATACGCAAAAAACTGAACGCAGCTTTTATAATATTAACATTAAATACAATAATAAAGATAATAATAACACTAATGATATTTATAATAACAACAATATTATAAAAATAATGTTTTGCTGCAAACAGCCCTCTCTTTATTATATTTTGAAAGAAAACTTTCAACTGTTTTTGTAATACAATTAAATGTGGTTTAATATTTTGTTTAATGACTTTACCATCTAACAAGTAGAGTCCAATATCGATGCTAAAAGCTCCTAAATTGTAATAGTCATCAGTCACAAATTCAATAAAGAGCTCATCTCCTTCAACAACGGTAAAATATGGGTTGTCCAGGGATGTAAAGCCAGTTAAATTGACTACAGTGAAGCCATCGGCATCATGGCCTTGTCCTATCTTCAAAGTATCATAGCTGTCGAGGTGCAACTCGTCGATGGTCACAACGAAAGAGAAGTTGCCTCCAGCTGATGAATTCGCCTGGAAGAGCCAAAGGATGGAGGTGTTGCCGTAGTAGCTATTTGGATAATTTGGCGAGTACAGATAAAGATGTTCTCCATTGTCCAGCTCATGTACTGTGTGGAACAATATATTTATTTATTCATTTAATGTCCAGGAAAAGTTAAAATAAGAAAACATACATGGATCCAAGATTTACCCCAAATGAACAAATGTTATCAATTTTAAGCTTTTTTTTACAAACACTCATACACCCTCAACCACCCCGCATACAGACAGACAAATATTTGAGTAAAAATTACAAAGACGTAATTTAGGAATAGATTCCAAAACAGGTTATGAAGGGCAAGAACCACTTGATGACTAAAATACTTGTCACACTAAAGGATGAAATTTACATTGTGAACATCAGCAACCCTAAGAGACAGTTCCAATGTGAATATTTCAAGCAATTATTTTGGGGTTGAACACTGAAAACCATCCTTTGCGTATTAGATATAGCCATAGAGCTTACATCACAGAAAGGGCAAGCATAGTGATACCTAAAAATGTTTTCAAACTACCTATACTTGCTCTTGTGGAAAGATTAGACTTCAAAAGATGAAAGAGGCATGAAATATCAAGACAAAAGGGGCATGCTCTCACACATCATGGAATGCGCTGTATAAATGTAACTTATTGTTATTATGAAGTAATTATATATCGATGCATACCAAGGAAGCACAACGGAAGTATGGTAGTGGTACTGTGAACTTTCTTCTAAAACTTAAAGAGAAACACCCTAAAGAGACCAACCAAGGGAGCAATATTATAAGCTGTGGTGCAACAGTGCACCTCTGGGTATAATGGGTACTGGTAAGAGTTGAAAGCTGAATGGTTCAATTCTGCACCCTGAGAGACACTGTTATTATAAAAATAAGGGTAGTAATTTAAACCTTTCAACCTTTTCAACATTTTATTATATCAGGTAGTTACATGAATCAAGCCCGATATTCCACATACAAATCTTTCTACCTCACTTCCTGTTACAGTCTACAGACATTTATGTTTCAAGTCAAAAGTTATTAAATGCAAAAAAACATTAAGAAAACTTGTACAAATTCCATCTCATCTCGATCAACAATCATGTTCCAATATGAACAGTAAAGGGATCCTTTATGTGTTTCTTCCTAATCTCTACATGTATTTGATTATTTTTATAAATAAGATTTCTGATAACATTACATAAATCATCTCTTTTTACTCACTGCATGATGCCTCATCACTACCGTCTCTGCAGTCTAGTATCACATCACATATAGCGGATCCATTGACTGCCCATGGACCTGTCTTGCATTGGAAAGGATCTGTATTTTACAATAAAAGAAAAAAGTATAGATTAAGATAGTATGCCTTAAAAGTCCAAATGTGACCAGGCAACAAAAACATATCAAAAAGCGACCAGATCCTAAAACAGGAGATTCTCAGCTTAAAATGACATATAAATCATCCCAATATGATGTTCCTAACCCAGTGAAGAAAATGAGGTCTCCTTCTAGTATAAATTGTTACTTGAGAAAACTAAAATCTGTAGTATATTCAAGCATGCTGACCCACAAAGAAATGTGCAAGGTGGCAAATGGAGGATTATAACTCTCTATCATCAAATTGTCTTAAAAACAAAGCATACCAATTAAGTACACGCTGTTATTTATTTTGACCAAGTATCTATGCAAAAGCATTTTAAAGTTATAGGAAATCAAAATAATACCAGTAGCCATGGTCATATGAAAACAATTACTACAACAACAAAAAAGATCAGACAAACATCGACAAGTCTACACAAAATTGCTCAAAATACCACTTTTAGATTATTTGGTGCTTCCAGATTTTGAATTTATGTAGAAGGTGTCGTGGTCGATTGGATACTTCGCCGGACTGTTGATTAAAAGGTCAGCAGTTCGAGTCCCGCCGCGGCACTAATGTCCTTTGGCAAGACATTGATCTACATCTGCGACACTCAATCCAGGTGATGTAAATGGGTACCTGGCAGGAATTAATTCCTTGAAATGCTGGAGGGCTGTATACGGCAGCTAGGCTAAAGCCGGGGAAATAATAAATGTGCCTAGGAATAAAATTTCTAGATAGATGGCGCTATAGAAATGCCCATTATTATTAAGGTATACTCACAACATACTTAACACTCAAATTTGACCATCCCGACCTATTGCACCTCTATGAACCCCTGATTGAAAACCACACCATGCGACTCTTGGGTGGTTTTGTGGTGCCTGGTAACTAACACATTTTCATTTGTCCATGAAAAAATATGTGACAGACTTATTGCAGTACTTTTTCAACAGACTTTAAAAAAAAAAAGAATTACAATGATTTTCGAAGAGAATTCAAAGAGCTTGGGCCCCCAAATTATCTTGAAGGTGTTTACCAGTGGTTGAGTTGTTTATTAATGTCTCTTACTGTTATTTCTTGTGTGCCCTCAGCGATGCTACATTTTGCAATATCATTTGTCATGATGGTAAAAGCAAACAAATTATTCTGGAGGCAATTTATGTTCTTCTATTCTAATTTTGCAATACTGGGTTTAAGTGAGCCACATTTATATGTTCTGCATGTAAGCAAGATTGGTTTTTGAAACCAGTCATAACGAATATACATAATGTATCAATTATTATTATACATCAACTAGTTTTTTATGAATTCATTTTTATTTTGTTGAAACTTCTTCAATTTTGTATGGAATCTTGTGTGTAACAAAGACAGTATAAACATTTGCTACATGTAAATGACTAAAGGTTAAAATTTGGCATGTATTTTTGAGAAATAGAATGCTAATATGGTATATATTAACTGTAACTAGTGGGCTTGGTACTTTGTGAAAATAAGCAAATTTATAAAAAAAAAATTTAACAGAAGGTCCACTAACTAACTTTAGAAGAAAAAAAAATTACACTTTTAACTTTACAATGTGCTAATTTGAATTCATAAAACTGAAAGGGTATTGTAAATAGAAAGTATTAAATTTGTATGTAGAATTTTTCATGTTTACCTGTGAGATAACCCAAAGATATCTCCATTAGGAAGTAGTTGTAGTATGAACTTGATGTAAATTCAATGAACATCTCTGATGCAGCTAGAATGCGCTCCCCCCTTGGAAATTGCTGGCTTCCACTGGAGACTTCAGCATCATTGTTGGGTACCAGACCGGCTCCAATCCGTAGAACATCACCATAAGAAAGATATCCGTAGTTGAAAGTGATAATGAATGCTACTTCCATGGAGTTAGTAAGAGCAGGAGCGCTTGAGTTGAAGAGCCACAAGGCACGTGTGTACGAGTAACCAGAACTGAGTAGAACTCTTGTGTCTCCAAGATAAAGCGTGTGGACTGAAAGAATAAGAGACATCATTGTTTGGTTCTGTGGTCAATTTTAGACACAATGTCCTGCTTCTTTAATTGATGGTGGTCACGAATCCTACCCAAGAAATCGACACTTTGCAGAGGCTTACCTGTACAAATTTGACAGCATTTCAATTTTAAAGTAATTGACATTTATGTTCTTTCAGTAATATTCATCAAGATATATACACACTGAACAAGCTTGGGTAACAAGGATTCCTGGTAGAAAGAATTGACTCCCACAAAGCCGTTTGTTGTGTGTCAAATTAAGAAATCACCATTCTTTCATTTTCCTTTAAAATAGTCATCTCAACGGTTATTCTAACACTCTATTGTATCGCCTATATTAATCAAGTTCGGATAATGTAATATGTCATCATCATGTAACATTTCAATAGGTGACTTCAAAGGCAATTAAAATTCTGTAGGTAAATGACTACCACAAAGCAGTTTGTGGTGTGGTAAAGAGATCATCATTCTTTACTACATAATGCGAGTAAAACCAACTGTTTTGGGTGCTGCTATGAAGAGCAGTGGACTGAAAGGTTATTTTGATACTTCTTGTAAGTTTTTTAATGATTTGAAAGAGGCTTTAATACATGAATAATCACAACAAAAAGAAATCTTTATATTTCCATTATTGCAGAAGATACACTGACCAGTAAAACACTTACATTTGATCAAAATATACCGTAGGCATTTGCCTACTCTCGGACTTTGTTATGGGGCAGTCAACCAAAGATGCATGGGGAACGCACAGCCCGCCCATTGAAAATTTGCAAGTTACGTTCTCGTTCGTCAAGCGCGCTAGACCAACGCTATGCATTCAACGTCATTTGCTGTGTGTGTCGGGAATAAGTGTGCACCGAGCATGACGCACTTTATACAATAGCTCTAGTATTTTAAGCATTGTGACTGGTCAAAATGCGTGCCATGTCATGCAACATTTTTTGTGCACTGCATGCGTGCAAAAAAGCCCAACGAAAAGTATCATCGCACGCTAGCAACACGCTATGCATGGGCGCACAACGATGCACTGACCTTATTTTCTGATTTTTCAATACGCGGGCCGTGCGTCGTCTATGTGTGACTGGGCCATAAGAGACAAACTTGTATGTTGAATTATATATAATATTTCACAGATAATAAAAAACAAAAACAATATTCAAATAAAATGAACATAAAATTACCACAGCCGGTTTCATCACTGGAGTCCGGACAATCTACACTGACATCACACAGGGAGGACTGGTTGACTGCATGTAATCCATCATTGCACACAAAGAGACCTAAACACCAGCAATAAATGTAGAAGGGAGTTATCAGTTCATTGGCTCTGCAAGATACATACACTGTACATGTCCCGAGTTTGATAGTAATCCATCCGTCAGTATTGACAATGCATTCACAAGCTATTTTAGCATACATAATGTACCCTATGACCTTTCACCTTGTGACCCCAACATCTAATCAATTCATTGGCTCTGCAAGATACAAACATGGCCTTAGTTTGGCGGTAATTCATCAATCAGTTCTTGTGATAACGTGATCACAAGCTATTTTTGCATATATAATGAGCCCTGTGACCTTTGACCTCTTGACCCTAAAAGTGGCAATTGGCAAGTGTAGACTCATGTCTTGCCAAAGGACATTACCGGTAGTGCCGTGTCGGGGATCGAACCCACGACCCTTGAATTTCAAGTAAAGTGCTTAAACCTTTCGACTATGACACCTCTACTATAGGTTACAGATTGTTAAAAGAATTACCTTCAAGGGAACGGGGTGTAATCGCCAGGTTGAAATGTGAATAACTATAGGAGCTTGTGAAATCCACGTGCATCTCCGATGACTGAATGAGCCTTCTTGCCCTGTTAGACGGGTGGTCATCATTGGTAAATCGAAATTCGGAACCATCACTGGGGACAAATCCAGAGCCAATACGAAGTACGTTGCCATAGCTTAAATAAATGTCGCTAATGTACACAAAGAAGGCAATGTTACCAGTATCGCTTTGTGAAGAATTGATATTGAATAACCACGTTCTGATGTAAGGTCTACTGTGTAATCCATAACTGTAAAGAAAGTGGGTTTCTCCAACAGTAAGCGAGTATTCTGAAAAAAAGTTATGAGAGAAGAAAAAAATCACATCATTATATAACACTTCATCTAAATTTGTTGTTTAAAATGTTGTTATATGCTCTTTTTCTCCTTTTTTGTTGGTTTCATTTATTTCTCATTTCCTCAAAAATGTCCATGTAAAAAAAGTACAGACTTAAATTCACTCATGTTACATAGCCACTTCATGTAATGTCAAAATGGACAAATTGGAACCTTAAGCAGCTTACAGCCTTCGGGGGTATAAATTCTTTTGAAAAATTACTTTTTATTGTAGTGAATACTTTTTCATCCTCAAATATAACGATGCAACTTATCATTAAAAAAAGATGAAATACTTACTGCAGTTGTTTTCATCACTGCCATCATTACAATCATCAATAGAATCGCATCGAGCAGTAGAATTATAAGGAGTTCCATCGGAGCAAACAAAGAGGTCTGTTAAATTTTATAGAAATATAAAGCAAAAAAATATAAATTAATACTATGATTATGAAGGTAACAATAATTATGATGCCTGCATAGCACTACTCTTAACCATGATACTGATAATTTTATAAATGACACACACAAAAAATGCTTAAAACAGGTAACCTCCATCGGTCAGACTATACTATTATATTACTAGGCAAGCAAGTTATACACCACATTTTCATATATATAATTAGATGATTTTTTCATATTCAATGAGCTATGACCTTTCATTAAAATCTGTCAAACATTACTAAAGTTATCGATCAGAAACCTGATTTGTATTTGTTTGCATATTTAATGAGCTATGACCTTTGACCTACATACTCCGAAATCGAACTCAGGCTGTGTTTTGATACCATGTACCTTCATATCAAATTTCATTACAAAATTTGTCAAACATTACTAAAGTTATCAATCTGTAACCAGATTTGTATTTTTTTGTATATTTAATGAGCTATGACCTTTGACCTACATACTCTAAAATTGAACTTAGACTGTGTTTTGATACCATGTACCTACATATCAAATTTTATTAAAATCTGCCAAACATTACTAAAGTTAGTGATCGGAACCCATGTAGATTTGTATTTTTTCGCATATTATTGAGCTATGACCTTTGACCTACATACTCCGAAATCCAACTTAGCCTGTACTTTGATACCATGTACCTTCAAAATTTGATTAAAATCCACCAAACATTATCGATCGGAAACCAAATTTGTTACAGAAGGAAGGACGGAAGGAAGAACGGATGGCGGCGTTACTATATCTCCGACTTCGTCGGCAACGGGATAAAAAAAAGCCTGTTCCAATCACACACACAAACAAACTGTGTAGCAAGAAAGTTTAAAATCTACATACAATTTTTTTGCCCAGCATTCTATGGCCAATAGATAGGAGTATAAAAAAATACAGACTTAACAGAATACCATGTGCACGTGTGGTTCTTATTCTATACAAGTGTGTATGGACATGTTGAGTAATCTATTCACAAATCAATAATTTGTTGATTTCGATATCTCTTTATTGAAGTTATCTTTGAAACTCATATCTTGATTATAGTATAATGACACTGACATGCCTAACATACAGAATAGAATATTTGTTGTGATTGACACACTGTAATCTCCAGCAACTTTATCTATCCTGCAAATGGCAGATGTAGATAAAAGAATTGCCAAATTATGTTAGTACCGGTATTAAATATTATACAACGAAACTCCTAGATCCTTGTTATTTGATGTAAAAAGAATTCATTCAAGATTGTTTCGTGAGAGTATAATTATGGCTGACAAATAAATCTCAAGTTTAATAAGGCTTAATTTAGTGCGCACACATAGCTATACAGTAGATATAGCAAGCGCACTCACCTCTATACTCATTTACGCATAGTGCTGCGCAAGAGTAGGCTCAGCATGCTCACGCAGTATTAAGCACTCTTACCTCTACGCGCACTACTGCGCTCGGAAAACGAGTTCAATAGTACTGGAAAATATTGCACTCCTTTTCATTAAAACGAGTGCAATAGGCTAAGTAAATGAATCACACGTGACCGTGCATGACCAATCATTTGATTAGTGATCTGGGAGTGATGCTGTGTGTATCTATCGCACTCAGCCTAACGGCTTTGTGCGATAGATACACACAGCTTCAACTCGAGTGCGGATAGATCGTATAATGAACTCATGCGCATGCATCATTTGTATACTGATGGGACTCAAATGCTAATGGCCCAATCAATAGTACAGGTTCAATTTGAGAAAAAAATGTTTTTGCTACTGTTCTTCACAGTAAAGTGTTAAAATCCACTCAGGAGTAATCAATTACTTTAGAGCGAATACTTAATTTTGAAAATGCTTTTGAATTTAATTTTCTGTTCCTTTCTGTACATGTTCTAGAAAGAGGTGTCAATGTGGATACGATTCGATTTGATTCCCGCTGCAGCACTTATCTGTCCTTTGACAAGACTAAAACTACAATTTGGCACTCTTCAGCCGGTTGTAGTAAATGGGATCTGGGAGGAATCTATTCCTTGAATACTTGAATGCAGCTAGGCTAAAACCAGGGTATGCACTTTGCAGGTGCCTTAAGCACCTGCTAGGATCAGTATATGCACATCGTAAAAAGTTTTAGGTTTTAGGACGGGACAATTACCTCCTGGGCAATCACCCCCCCCCCCCCAGCCAATTTCCAGCGGGCAAGAAATCCCCAAGGACAATTACCCCGGAAAAATACTCCCCAAGGACAACCACCCCCTGTGGAAAATTACCCCAAGGTCAATTACCTCCAGAAAATACTTATTATCAGGGTGGACTTCCCCTTTAATGAACAAGGGGATAATTTTCGGAAGGGGGGGGGGGGGGGTAATTATCCTTGGGCTGGTTGTCCTTGGTTGTCCTCAGGTGGAAAAGGTAATTGTTCTAGGGGGTTAGTTTTAGGGGTGAGGATAATTGTCCTCGGGGGGTTATTGTTCACCGGGAGAATGGTAAACGGGTAATTTTCTGGGGGGGGGGGGGAGGGGGCAATATTTCTCGAGGGTTGGTTGTCCTCAGGAGGTTATATTTCTGGGGGGTAAATTTCCGGGGGATATTGTACTTGGGGGGGGGGGGGGGGACAGTCTTCCGGGGGAGGGGGGGGGTGGGAGGGTAATTTTCAGGGGGTAATTGTCCTGATACGCAAAAAACTGAACGCAGCTTTTATAATATTAACATTAAATACAATAATAAAGATAATAATAACACTAATGATATTTATAATAACAACAATATTAATGATTATAAAAATAATGTTTTGCTGCAAACAGCCCTCTCTTTATTATATTTTGAAAGAAAACTTTCAACTGTTTTTGTAATACAATTAAATGTGGTTTAATATTTTGTTTAATGACTTTACCATCTAACAAGTAGAGTCCAATATCGATGCTAAAAGCTCCTAAATTGTAATAGTCATCAGTCACAAATTCAATAAAGAGCTCATCTCCTTCAACAACGGTAAAATATGGGTTGTCCAGGGATGTAAAGCCAGTTAAATTGACTACAGTGAAGCCATCGGCATCATGGCCTTGTCCTATCTTCAAAGTATCATAGCTGTCGAGGTGCAACTCGTCGATGGTCACAACGAAAGAGAAGTTGCCTCCAGCTGATGAATTCGCCTGGAAGAGCCAAAGGATGGAGGTGTTGCCGTAGTAGCTATTTGGATAATTTGGCGAGTACAGATAAAGATGTTCTCCATTGTCCAGCTCATGTACTGTGTGGAACAATATATTATTTATTCATTTAATGTCCAGGAAAAGTTAAAATAAGAAAACATACATGGATCCAAGATTTACCCCAAATGAACAAATGTTATCAATTTTAAGCTTTTTTTTACAAACACTCATACACCCTCAACCACCCCGCATACAGACAGACAAATATTTGAGTAAAAATTACAAAGACGTAATTTAGGAATAGATTCCAAAACAGGTTATGAAGGGCAAGAACCACTTGATGACTAAAATACTTGTCACACTAAAGGATGAAATTTACATTGTGAACATCAGCAACCCTAAGAGACAGTTCCAATGTGAATATTTCAAGCAATTATTTTGGGGTTGAACACTGAAAACCATCCTTTGCGTATTAGATATAGCCATAGAGCTTACATCACAGAAAGGGCAAGCATAGTGATACCTAAAAATGTTTTCAAACTACCTATACTTGCTCTTGTGGAAAGATTAGACTTCAAAAGATGAAAGAGGCATGAAATATCAAGACAAAAGGGGCATGCTCTCACACATCATGGAATGCGCTGTATAAATGTAACTTATTGTTATTATGAAGTAATTATATATCGATGCATACCAAGGAAGCACAACGGAAGTATGGTAGTGGTACTGTGAACTTTCTTCTAAAACTTAAAGAGAAACACCCTGAAGAGACCAACCAAGGGAGCAATATTATAAGCTGTGGTGCAACAGTGCACCTCTGGGTATAATGGGTACTGGTAAGAGTTGAAAGCTGAATGGTTTAATTCTGCACCCTGAGAGACACTGTTATTATAAAAATAAGGGTAGTAATTTAAACCTTTCAACCTTTTCAACATTTTATTATATCAGGTAGTTACATGAATCAAGCCCGATATTCCACATACAAATCTTTCTACGTCACTACCTGTTACAGTCTACAGACATTTATGTTTCAAGTCAAAAGTTATTAGAAAACTTGTACAAATTCCATCTCATCTCGATCAACAATCATGTTCCAATATGAACAGTAAAGGGATCCTTTATGTGTTTCTTCCTAATCTCTACATGTATTTGATTATTTTTATAAATAAGATTTGTTATGGGGCAGTCAACCAAAGATGCATGGGGAACGCACAGCCCGCCCATTGAAAATTTGCAAGTTACGTTCTCGTTCGTCAAGCGCGCTAGACCAACGCTATGCATTCAACGTCATTTGCTGTGTGTGTCGGGAATAAGTGTGCACCGAGCATGACGCACTTTATACAATAGCTCTAGTATTTTAAGCATTGTGACTGGTCAAAATGCGTCACATGTCATGCAACATTTTTTGTGCACTGCATGCGTGCAAAAAAGCCCAACGAAAAGTATCATCGCACGCTAGCAACACGCTATGCATGGGCGCACAACGATGCACTGACCTTATTTTCTGATTTTTCAATACGCGGGCCGTCCGTCGTCTATGTGTGACTGGGCCATAAGAGACAAACTTGTATGTTGAATTATATATAATATTTCACAGATAATAAAAAACAAAAACAATATTCAAATAAAATGAACATAAAATTACCACAGCCGGTTTCATCACTGGAGTCCGGACAATCTACACTGACATCACACAGGGAGGACTGGTTGACTGCATGTAATCCATCATTGCACACAAAGAGACCTAAACACCAGCAATAAATGTAGAAGGGAGTTATCAGTTCATTGGCTCTGCAAGATACATACACTGTACATGTCCCGAGTTTGATAGTAATCCATCCGTCAGTATTGACAATGCATTCACAAGCTATTTTAGCATACATAATGTACCCTATGACCTTTCACCTTGTGACCCCAACATCTAATCAATTCATTGGCTCTGCAAGATACAAACATGGCCTTAGTTTGGCGGTAATTCATCAATCAGTTCTTGTGATAACGTGATCACAAGCTATTTTTGCATATATAATGAGCCCTGTGACCTTTGACCTCTTGACCCTAAAAGTGGCAATTGGCAAGTGTAGACTAATGTCTTGCCAAAGGACATTACCGGTATAGTGCCGTGTCGGGGATCGAACCCACGACCCTTGAATTTGAAGTAAAGTGCTTAAACCTTTCGACTATGACACCTCTACTATAGGTTACAGATTGTTAAAAGAATTACCTTCAAGGGAACGGGGTGTAATCGCCAGGTTGAAATGTGAATAACTATAGGAGCTTGTGAAATCCACGTGCATCTCTGATGACTGAATGAGCCTTCTTGCCCTGTTAGACGGGTGGTCATCATTGGTAAATCGAAATTCGGAACCATCACTGGGGACAAATCCAGAGCCAATACGAAGTACGTTGTCATAGCTTAAATAAATGTCGCTAATGTACACAAAGAAGGCAATGTTACCAGTATCGCTTTGTGAAGAATTGATATTGAATAACCACGTTCTGATGTAAGGTCTACTGTGTAATCCATAACTGTAAAGAAAGTGGGTTTCTCCAACAGTAAGCGAGTATTCTGAAAATAAGTTAGGAGAGCAGAAAAAAATCACATCAATATATAAAACTTCATCTAAATTTGTTGTTTAAAATTTTATTGTATGCTCTTTTCTCCTTTTTTGTTGGTTTCATTTATTTCTCATTTCCTCAAAACTGTCCATGTAAAAAGGTACAAACTTAAATTCACTCATGTAACATAGCCATTTCATGTAATGTCAAAATGACAAATTGGAACTTTAAAAAGGCTTTGGGGTATAAATTCTTTTTAACAATTACTATAGTTAAAGATAAAGTTGAGTTCTGGTCATGCGATTGCATTGTGAAAAAAACGGTGTGGAACCGACCAGAAAAGGTTGATCATCTAGCATATAAGAATTTATGTGTATTGCAAGGTTCTGGAATCATCAAAATGATAAGAAATTTGGCCAAGTCTTGGTAAAGTTACAAACACGTGCACAGAAAGATGTATATGGGACTACACGAACACGTGGCGTAAAAAGCCGGCCCCCCGATTTTTACGATGTTACATGCATATTTAGAATATGAAGGCATTTGAAGAGCCATGCTTTTCAGGGAACATGTCTTAACTGATGTTCTTCCACACTTGCATATAATAAGAATGAGTAATGCTCACAAATTATTTTTCACCTCTTCCCAGAACTCAACCTTCTCTTTAACTAGCACGACCCGCGGAAATCCGCGGGATCCTAGAGGGGGGCGGGGGGTGTAAATAGATATATAGAGACTGTCTAAATTAAAACCACCAAGAACTTTATTTGCCATTCAGGCCATTAAGAAATATACATGTTAAGCGTCCCCGCCCGCTTCCTTTTTGGGGGCCGCCTCCTATTTTTTTTGTTGAAATTTTTTGAAAAGTTTTTTTTTTTTTTTGAAAGAAAAAAAAACAGCGTCCCCGCCTGCTTCCTTTTTGGGGGCCGCCTCCTATTTTTTTTTTTTTTTTTTTTTATTTTTTTTTTTTTTTTTGAAAGAAAAAAAACATGAAAAGCACTGCTAAAATGTATTTCTGATTTTAAAAAGAAAAAAAAAAATTGTCGGCCGCCATCTTGAAAAATAGCCTGAATGTCAGGAAAAATGTACGGAGCGGCCATTTTAAAAGAAAATAAAAATTAAAAAAAGGGCCTCCTCCTTCCCATTTTTCGAAAAAACAGGAAGCTAAACATGTTTTTTTTTTAATTTGGCCTTATATAAAAATAAAAAAACGATCCAACTGTACCGGTAGTTATTCTTTAAGCCACTGGAACTGCGTAGAGTTCCGTAGTGTGGCGTACCGACTACGCAGAAATTAGGCTGCGTATTAATGGGGAAATAGTCCCTGCGTAGGTTATGCGTAGGCTGGCGAAAAAAATTAAACAGGTTGAATTGTTTTCGTTCATCTTGCGTACCCCTTTCCGTCCCTCAGCATATAGTAACGTAGGCCAGCGTAGTTGTTACGCAACACTACGCAACTCTACGTATTGACCCCACGCCAATTAGTGACCCGCAAGTGTCACAAATAAAGTATTAAAAATATGCTCATCTGACCCTATACGCCTAAAACCCCCGAGCTTTCGGGGGTTTATGGCCCCTTGAAACCCGTGGACCCCACGCCTATATTATATATACACTCAACTCGCTGCGATCTGATCTCTCCCCCCCCCCCCAACTTTGAAAAACGTAACCCCCGAGCTTTTGGGGGTTTATGGCCCCTTGAAACCCGTGGACCCCACGCCTATATTATATATACACTCAACTCAGGACCCGCGGAAATCCGCAGGATTCTAGAGGGGGTGCGCAGGCAAAAAATTAAGTTTTTCATTTCGGGGGCTCCATTTCAAATTTTAGGGAAATTTTCTGGGGCTCTTTTTTCTCGGGCTACTTTTTCATTAATTCATATAAGGATAGGCCTACACTTTGTTGAGATTTGTTTAGTAGGCTATTAGGTTTCAGGCTTCCTACTTCATAATTGCCTAGGCCTATTTAAAAAAAAAATAAAAAAAATTCTAGTTCAATTACTAAGTTTTCATGCATTGATTTGATGCAAGAACTGTAACATAATAGACCCTAGATTGTGATTATTTCTGACCATGAATTTCGATAATCATTTTTCAAAGTAAAATTTTCACAGGAAAATCAAACAGTCTTTTAAAAACGAAGACATTAGAGTCTAGTAATACGTTTACTTATTCTAAGCTCAGGTTTCGTAAATCTATTCACGAAACTATATTGAAATCGCGGCAATAATGATGCAAACCAACAGATAACAATTTCAAAGTGTCAAATCTCTTCGACTCGAATTCAACTCACACACTTTCAACTGCAACTCAGCTCACTGATCTCACACACACTAAACAGTGGCAATGCACTGTCAGTTACGGTGATTTTGTCTGATTTTCTTTACTTTGAAGAAATGATTATCAAAATTACGTAAACATGGCGAGAACATCACAAAATAGGCTTTAATTTCATACCTCTATTTATGGAAACTTTATAATATTGCAGCAATCGTGAATTCGTGATGGAAATTGATTGCAGTTTTGCGATGTTTAGTGGTTCATGGTCTACACTCACACACTTTCAACTGCAACTCAGCTCATCTCACACACACTACACAGTGGCAATGCACTGTCAGTTACGGTGATTTTGTCTGATTTTCTTTACTTTGAAGAAATGATTATCAAAATTACGTAAACATGGCGAGAACATCACAAAATAGGCTATAATTTCATACCTCTATTTATGGAAACTTTATAATATTGCAGCAATCGTGAATTCGTGATGGAAATTGATTGCAGTTTCGCGATGTTTAGTGGTTCATGGTCTAGATTCAGCTTCTACCGAAACAAAATCGACCGCCAAAAACTCGAGCCCTACGCTCCGTCTCGATCTCGCAACTGCGAAAATGTACGTGTTTTGGCGTACTTGCGTGCGACATGGTAAGCCAGGTAAGGTATGGAATATGGTTCGAGTTTTTTTACGACCGATTGTTGTGTATACAATTTTATACGGATAGTCATCGGTCGTGTGTCAATGTTGAATATCCATGAGGTATCTCTGTCGTCACGCATATCCTGCATTATGCATGTCGCGTCTGTTTTCGCCCTGGACGTCGACACGGAGGAGGACCTCGGGCGGAGTATAGCCAATTCCACAGAGTAGACTCTCCCGCGGACGATGGCACCGGTCACCGGGACCCCGAGGGGAGGGTTCAGGAGGAGATAGCTGCACCAACTTGGGTCGGCGATCTCATTAAAAAACAATAGAATACAAAGGCTGGCGGAGACGTCATGCCCCCCCGCGGAGCCTTAGCGTATTACTATTATAGACTAGCAGGACCCGCGGAAATCCGCGGGATCCTAGAGGGGGGCGGGGGGTGTAAATAGATATATAGAGACTGTCTAAATTAAAACCACCAAGAACTTTATTTGCCATTCAGGCCATTAAGAAATATACATGTTAAGCGTCCCCGCCCGCTTCCTTTTTGGGGGCCGCCTCCTATTTTTTTTTTTGAAATTTTTTTTGAAGAGTTTTTTTTTTTTTTTTTTTTTTTTTTTTTTTTTTTTTTGAAGAAAAAAAAAACAGCATCCCCGCCTGCTTCCTTTTTGGGGGCCGCCTCCTATTTTTTTTTTTTTTTTTTTTTTTTTTTTATTTATTTTTTTTTTTTGAAAGAAAAAAAACATGAAAAGCACTGTTAAAATGTATTTCTGATTTTAAAAAAGAAAAAAAAAAAATTGTCGGCCGCCATCTTGAAAAATAGCCCGAATGTCAGGAAAAATGTGCGGAGCCGCCATTTTGAAAGAAATAAAAAGAAAAAAAAAGGGCCTCCTCCTTCCCATTTTTAAAAAAAAACAGGAAGCTAAACATGTTTTTTTTTTAATTTGGCCTTATATAAAAATAAAATAAAACGATCCAACTGTACCGGTAGTTATTCTTTAAGCCACTGGAACTGCGTAGAGTTCCGTAATGTGGCGTACCGACTACGCAGAAATTAGGCTGCGTATTAATGGGAAAATAGTCCCTGCGTAGATTATGCGTAGGCTGGCGAAAAAAATTAAACAGGTTGAATTGTTTTCGTTCATCTTGCGTACCCCTTTCCGTCCCTCAGCATATAGTAACGTAGGCCAGCGTAGTTGTTACGCAACACTACGCAACTCTACGTATTGACCCCACGCCAATTAGTGACCCGCAAGTGTCACAAATAAAGTATTAAAAATATGCTCATCTGACCCTATGCGCCTAAAACCCCCGAGCTTTCGGGGGTTTATGGCCCCTTGAAACCCGTGGACCCCACGCCTATATTATATATACACTCAACTCGCTGCGATCTGATCTCGATCCCCCCCCCTCCCAACTTTGAAGAACGTAACCCCCGAGCTTTTGGGGGTTTATGGCCCCTTGAAACCCGTGGACCCCACGCCTATATTATATATACACTCAACTCAGGACCCGCGGAAATCCGCGGGATTCTAGAGGGGGTGCGCAGGCAAAAAATTAAGTTTTTCATTTCGGGGGCTCCATTTCAAATTTTAGGGAAATTTTCGGGGGCTCTTTTTTCTGGGGCTACTTTTTCATTAATTCATATAAGGGTAGGCCTACACTTTGTTGAGATTTGTTTAGTAGGCTAAGGTTTCATTCTTCCTACTTCATAATTGCCTATTTAAAAAAAACAACATTTTTCTAGTTCAATAACTAAGTTTTCATGCATTGATTTGATGCAAGAACTGTAACATAATAGACCCCAGATTGTGATTATTTCTGACCATGAATTTCGATAATCATTTTTCAAAGTAAAATTTTCACAGGAAAATCAGACAGTCTAGACATTAGTAATACTTTTATTAATTCTAAGCTCAGGTTTCGTAAATCTATTCACGAAACTATATTGAACTCGCGGCAATAATCATGCAAACCAACAGATAACAATTTCAAAGTGTCAAATCTCTTCGACTCGAGCTCAGCTCAGCTCAACTCACACACACACACTACAGCGTAACTCCATTTAGCTCGAACACCGGCGCTGCAGGCGTCGGACGCCTGCGGTGCGCGGTCCCGGTGTTGGAGCTTTCCGGAGTTACACTGCACTGTGTGTAATGTATGTATGTGTACGTAGACTGAAGGCAGCTAATTGCGA